GATTCACGAACAAGACGGGTTCCGATACAGTTGCAATTGGCAGTAAATACAATCACCTTCAGTGCTTATGTAGTGAAACAATGATTCCACTTTTATATATTGTGAATTGCTCAGGTAATAATAATAATGTGATGTTATTAATGCATTGGAGTAATTACAACATATTATTAACCTTAATAATCTGAATATAAATATCTTCCTCATATACATTTCCATATTAATATTAATACTTTACATGCCTAATTTCATCATAACAGAATAAACAGATGCTATTTCATTTTCTTGTAAATGTACTCTTATACCAACTGTGGTTGTGGGTAAAGACTGCCATCTGCTGGCTGTCTGACTGTGGATCTTCATAAGACATTGTTTGACACCTGATTTATTTATTTGTCTATTTATTGATGGAAAGTATATATTTAACAACTTCTTGAAAAGCAATGGTTTGACACATCTTCTGATGCTTTTATTCCAGTGATGGTAAAGCTGAATTTTCAGCATCATTACTCCAATCTTTAAAGTCACATGATCCTTCAGAAATCATTGATTTGGTGGTCAAGAAACATTTCTTATTATTTTCAATGTTGAAAACAGTTGTGCTGCTTCTTATTTAGTGGAAACCATTATTCTTTCTTTTGTCAGGATTCTTTGGTGAATATAAAGTTCAAAAGAACAGCATTGATTTGAAATAAAAATCTTTTGTAACATTATAAATGACTTTACTATCAATTGTGCACCATTGGCACCAATACAGATCAATTTAATGCACCTTGTTAATAAAAGCATTAATTTCTTTTTAAAAATCTTACTGACCCCAAACTTTTGAATGGCACTGTATATATGCTAATATGTACCTGTGACTGGTAAATGTTTTATATGAAAAATGGTGTGCGTTTCAGATATGTTACGTTTGATTGTATATTTCTATTTTAGAATTTGTAAAATATACTTAGAATATAAAGGAAAATCGCATTTTGCCCAATTCAAAATACATGTGTGATCATTATAGGAAGACTTAAAAACACTGAACCAAAAACTGGACTATTGCAAAGATTTTCAACTGTTTTATATTTTGTTATATATAATTATTTAAGTTGTATTTAAACTGTATATTTTATGCACATAGCTGATTCATTATTTTGTTCAAAGTATGATTATTCAATTAAATTCAACAATTGAAGATTCAACAAAAAGATTCAACAGAACTTGAATCCATATTTTTGGGCCATGACTGCCATCTGCTGGTCACTTTTCTATTGCCACACTACACCAAATTGCTGCCAGTATTCCTAAAATACCGGAGGGTGCAGTTTCAGGACCACAGTTCTGGGACCGCATTTCTTGGACCCTAGTTTTTTGTGACAGCGCCACAAGCCAATTCTACCCCAACAGCGGAGACCTGATTTAAACTAAATATTAAATAAAGTAAATAAGATAATTTTTGTTCAATAAATATACTGTCATTAAAATTTTAATACAAAATATATATATATTTATATCTTTTTACAAAAGATTTTGAAAAAGCATTGAATGAGAGCCCATAATAATTTATAGAATTTACAGTAGTAACAATAAATGATATTTTATTATACCATATGATTAAAATATGATGGTTTCATTATAAATATGGTGATTAACTTTAAGGTGGTCACCTATTTGGAAAACTATAAAGAAGACCCTTTGTCTCAAAATATATTCAATCATTTTATCGATTCTCATTTGCTAAATTTAACATTTTAAAAACCATTAAACATTAGATCAAATTGGCAGAATCAACTTTGCTGTTGTCCGCCTTCGCATAAAGGATCAGCCAAATTTCCACGTGTATCTTGAAGAGCGGATGTTTAGGAACATGCTGCGGAAAGTTTTTGTGGCATCTAGTGGTTTAAAGGAAAATAAAATAAAAGTTTTTTTTTTTTTTAAATCAAAGGTCTGGTTAGCCCTGTTACCCTATCACTCAGTTTTAGCTAACAATGTATTCCATAATTTAGGAGCCAAATGCGAAAACACTCTCCCTCCTTTACTGCGTTCTGTGACCTTAAAGAACGTGAAGTGAATAATGAAGTCAAGTCAAGTCACCATTTATATAGCGCTTTTAACAATATAGATTGTTTCAAAGCAGATTTACAGTGATAATAGGAAATTAAAGGGATAGTTCACTTTGAAATTAATTTTTGGTATGTTTTAGCTTACCTCAAGGGCATCCAAGATGTAGGTGTCTTTGTTTCCGCAGTAGTTTCAATTTTGATATTTTTAGGTCAAACCGTTCTTGTCTGTCAGTCATTATAATGCAGGTCTATGGTCACCACCTCAAAGAGCATGCACAGAGAAGTCCAAATTAAACATGATTTAATGACTCGTAAATGTAAGTACACATTGATGGCCTAAGACACGAAACGAGCGGTTTGTGTGAGAAAACGAACAGTATTTATATCGTTTTTACCTCTTGTAACCACACGTCCAAGTGATCTGAGGGCGCGGGCGCTTCGGTCTGCGCAAGCGCCGGAAGTGATCTCTCGCGCGTGTACGTCACTCATTGTTTACACAGAGATTTCGGAAGTGTTACCTTTCACTGTGAAGATCTAAACATATTTAGATATACAGGAAATCGCAATGGAAGACGATTTCGATATATCAACAGACAACGTTGAATTTTTTCAGAGAGATCACTTCCGGCCCTTTCGGGCGCTTGCGCAGACCGAAGCGTCCACGGTGACTCGCTTGGTTTAGTCCTCAGTTGTAAGTCGCTTTGGATAAAAGCGTCTGCTAAATGACTAAATGTAAAATGTAAATGTAAAGGGAAGGGAAGGAGGCCTTCACAGGGGAGAGACTAGTTGACACTTCAGGACTGCATTGTCGTCTTGTCCAGGCGCAGGTCCTTCATCAGATCCGGATAGGGCCTGGATCCGGCAGACTGCGGTAAACCTCGGAATAAACAGAGAGACTAATATTAGCGTAGACACCATCCTTCTTATGATTTAACAAGTAGCCTACATCAGGATTTATGGAAAGTGTACCCAGTTCCGGCTGGCCTAATCTATGCAGCCTAACATTGAATTATAGAAGTCTATAATGTCAATGTGGTATGTGTATGCTAGATCAAAGAGATGTGTTTTTAGTCTAGATTTGAACTGACAGAGTGTGTCTGCTTCCCGGACAATGTTAGGAAGACTGTTCCAAAAGTTTTGGTGCTAAATAGGAAAAGGATCTACCACCAGCAGTCGATTTTGATATTCTAGGTATTATCAACTGGCCGGAATTTTAAGATCACAATAGACGTGAAGGACTATAATGCGTTAAGAGCTCGCTCAAGTACTGGGGAGCTAAACCATTTAGTGATTTGTAAGTAATCAGCAAAATTTTAAAATGTATGCAATGTTTAATAGGGAGCCAACGCAGTGTTGACAGAACCGGGCTAATATGGTCATACTTCCTGGTTCTGGTAAGAACTCGAGCTGCGTTTTGGACCAGCTGTAGTTTGTTTATTAAGTGTGCAGGGCAACCACCCCATAATAGCATTACAATAATCTATAGCCTTGATGTCATGAACGAACGCATGAACTAACTGTTTGCATTTGTCATTGAGAGCATATGACGTAATTTAGATATATTTATAAGATGGAAAAATGCGGTTTTACAGATACTAGACACGTGACTTTCAAATGAAAGATTGGTATCGAAGAGCACACCCAGGTTCCTAACCGACGACGAAGACTTGACAGAGCAGCCATCAAGTGTTAGACAGTATTCTAGGTCATTAAGTGAGGAAGTTTTTTTGGCCAATAATTAGAATCTCTGTTTTTTCAGAGTTAAGTAGTAGGAAATTACTAGTCATCCAAATTTTTATATCAGCTAAGCATTCAGTTAATTTTGTGAATTGGTGCGTTTCGTCGGGCCGCGAAGAAATATAGAGCTGAGTATCATCAGCATAACAGTGAAAACTAATTCCTAATGATATCTCCCAAGGGTAGCCTGTACAGAGTGAACAGCAACGGTAGTACTGAGCCTTGTGGTACGCCATACTGAACTTTTGATCGATAAGACATCTCTTCGTTTACTGCTACAAACTGATAACGGTCAGATAAGTATGATTTAAACCATGCTAATGCAATTCCACTAATGCCAACATAATTTTCAAGTCTATTTAAAAGAATGTTGTGATCAATGGTATCAAATGCAGCACTAAGATCGAATAACACTAATAGAGAGATACAAACATGTCTCGCACACACGAAGAAAGTAGTCTTTCTTTCCAAGAAAACTGAATTTAAAACCACAATGTAGTTACTCATATATTGAAACAAATGAAATATTTCAAGAGTGTTGCCAATGGGGTAGGCTATGTTTAGGGTCAGGGGTTGGTTAGGACAATATACTAGGCCTGTCAATTCCTAAAAATAATCAAATAAATAAAGAATTGAATAGTAAGTGCCAAAATATAGTATAAACTGCTAATACATACATACAAAAATATATATATATATAGAGTCCTACAAATGCGGTCATTAAACTGCAGCTTGCGGGATTGCAGGAATACCCTCATCACTGCCATGAACAGGTCTTATAGGAAAGATCGAATGGTTTGGCCAGATTTCTCTGGAATAGGCTATATATATTTACACATTTCCATATTATTCAGACATCATAAGCAACCATAATAGAGAGTCATTGTGTGTGAGAGGTCTTTTGTTAAAAATAAAAACATTATGGAGTTCCAGTACAAAATGTACATGATTTCCATATTATCCACGTAATAGCCCTCCAGACGCTATGCAAATTTCATACATAAACATAGTTGGATTTTCTGCATCCATGGTTTAACTTTGTCTGTGGCTGTCTTTAGACATACGATATGGTTTCCATCTATAGCTTTTTGACAGCTAGCTATTGGCTATTATGGAGTGATTTTGCATGCAACCAAACCTGCGCTTGCACAAACTACACCCCGCCTTCCCCAAATATCCTGCAATGTGACTGGCCGCTGAACGACAAGTAGCGCTGCAGCTAGATGATAAACAAAACAGTGTGTTCATTTTCACACGTTTGTTATTTTCCTTCAAAGGCTGGAGAAGAAAACAGTTTTTCTTATGAAGTATGGCTATAGTCAAAAAGGACGACCGACTGACAAGTTCTCAAAGTCTACTGTGCGTCGGTTTTGCCGGGATTTTTAGCAAAACTGTAACGTCACCTCTGGAAGTCGTAAAAATTTTGAGTCAAATAGGAACATTTCACTGTAAACGCGGTTTTCTGCACCGCTTTGTTTTTATTTGTCAGAATGAGGGACTTCGAGCATTTTGGAAGGGTAATATGGTTTCCTGTCTACGGTTGTTCCCCTACAGTGCCATACATTTAGCAACTTACAAAAAGTAAGTATTATACATTTTAATACTTTAATATTAAATAATGAATACTTGATAATTAGCGTTTATGCCCGATACGTTTCGCTGTTTTGTGTAATTCAAGATATGATCAGCTTTTCAATCGGCTGTGATGGTAAACAAGCGAAGTTGTTTCAACAACAGGAAGTTGACGTGCTAGCTTGATAGCGTTTGAAAGTACAAGACTGAAAATAATTTAATTATAAATGTATATACTAACAAGAGAGGACTCATTCAAATGTACTTAAGATGTTTCATTTGCGGATCGTTTAAAGAAATTATTTTCTTTAACCGCCTTGCTTCATTAGCTTAGCTTCTGTTACTTCTATAACGGGGGTTTACGTTAGTTCATCGTGATGTAACACATCACGCCTTCATGTCCTGACCAATCACGTAGCTCAGAAAGCCAGCGCGTTGATGTGGTGTGTCATCCTGAACTGATCCTGAACCCCAGATGGATACAGGCGTGGCCTTAATTATATGAAGTCTTAAAATCTGTGCATTCATAAAACAAGTTCAGTGTCAATTTCAGCTGTAGTGTTTCCATGGATATGAACCATGCACTTGGAAACGCCTATCAGCGTTCAGCTCAGCCTGTGCCTGTCCATAAACGAAAGTATGTCACGTGTATTTTCACATGATGCATGGGTTAACGGGGACACCGGAAACAGTTTTAGAAAGACCTGTACATAGTGTTCCAGTATTCCAGGAAAAGACGAGTGGAGGGTTTCTTTTATTGTTTATGGTGGAGAGTGTATTACGACCTGTTTTGAACGCATTGTTCCTCTTAAAAGAATACGTGTGTACCTCTCGTTTGCAAGTTGATGGTTACGAAGTTTATTTTGTTGGTTAATAATCAAATTTTTAGTAAAGGATATCATTTTCTAGTAGCCTACTGCTATTAATACTATATTTTTAATAATTACGTAATAATTAACAATAGCCTATATGCACATATATTAACACCAAATAAAAATACTTAAGAAATTGATAACTTTTTACAATTATAATTTACATTATAGGCTATTTATATTTGTAAAATTCATATAAACTTTTTAGTAATTCATACACTGTTAGCAAAAATTGCACTGTACTGTGAAATGTACTGACAGAAAATTAGTAGTACCTTTTCTGTTAATTTTGTGACACAATGATATATTCAAAATATCAGTAAAACTGAAAATCCCTACATATTAACATAGTACATTGTGCTGTATTTTTGCACATTTCTTAAAGTGTATATAGCCTCAAGTTATGTGTATTAAGTTAAAGCATTTTAGCATTAGCCTTTAGATCATGAGAATATATCAGTTAGATGTGTCTGGTAGATATGTCTGGTACTCTACACTTATCAAAAATGCTTACTATTCATTTTCTTCTATTTTTGGCAGTATTGTCCACCTTCATATTGATGAACTGGGTGATATCTCACAATGGAGAGCCATAGTAGCCGGTGGGCTGGCAGGCATATCTGCCGCTCTAGCAACATATCCATTGGAGGTGGTTGAAACCAGACTTATTGCTCAGAATTGCAAAGAACCAACTTACAGAGGGTTGCTGCATTCTCTCTCCAGCATGTACAGAAATGAAGGACTTCAAGCTCTCTACAGGGGTTTTTCCCTCACAGTGTTAGGTATGTATTAGTTCAGACCCTGTTTACACCTCAGAATCATTACACTAAATTACACTAAATCTGAATTCAAAAACATTAAAACCAAGCTCATAACCTTCTAATTAATAAAAGTTTTACAATTCAGCTTAAAAAGTTGATGGAACTTTGTTTGGATTTCTGTGGAATAGGCGCTGTTCCGTTCTCTGTTGGTTGCTATGCGGTCTATGTCAATTTGGATAAGCTTTGGCAGGAGCGTCATGTTCGCTTCACGTCTTTGCAGAACTTCATCAATGGATGTCTTGCGGCAGGAGTCGCTCAGACTCTCTCCTTCCCCTTCGAAACTGTTAAAAAGAAGATGCAGGTGAGAATAGGTGTAGTGCTATGTCTCACCACAAGGGGACACGATGGTACCAGTGTCACAGACTTGGGTCTCCCTAAAGTTGTAAAATATTGTCGATTATTGTCAAGAACTAAACTATGCAAAGACTATGCATAATTATATATATATATATATATATATATATATATATATATATATATATATAAAGAATTATACATAGTCTTTGCAACAGGTCACAAAGAACAATGCTGGACACCATTATGAAGGACACAAGGCCTTGCAGCAGCTGAGAATGTACATAGTGTCCAGTGTCTGCCTATGCCAAAGATAAATTGTCTAAAGATAGCTGACCTTTCACACACTCACAACAAACATGGTATATCTGATCTAGTTCCTATATGTTTTGATTGGCTCTGCAAACAGCCAAACTAGAAATGAAAAGTTCTGCCTTATCTCTTTTGCAAGTTAAATTGCATTGTCAGAAATAAACTGACCAAAGCTGCTGAATATTCTGTCAGTCTGGTGCTTAAAAAAGTATTGGTATCACTTTACAATAATGCTACTTAACTACTTTCGTTAACATGAACTAATAACTAACAATAATTCTACAGCATGTATTAATCCTAGTTAATGTTAATTTAAACATTTACTAATATTAATACGAATCACATTTTGTATTTGTTTACATTCATTATTGCACTGTGAACTAACATGAACAATCAATGGACAAAAACCTGGATTTTTATTAACTAACGTTATTAATAACAAAGATGAATAAATACTGTAACAAATGTATTGCTCATTGTTTGTTCATGTTAGTTAATATATTAACTAATGTTAACAAATGAGACATTGTAAAGTGTTACCAAAGTATCTATTGACACAATCAACACAGCCTATGGAAAACACAGAGGGTTTAAGGGTAGGTAAATGTTGGAAAATGTGTTACAGTAAGGCAATCAGTTCAAAACAAATGTACATGAATTGAATAAAAACCTAAAAAAACAACATATTTGATAATCTAAACTAGACAACGTTTTGTATATTTTTTCCTATAAACAATAATGTCAGTATTCTCTTATCTAAGTATTTCTTAATGATCAGGAATATTTCTTAAATCATTATTTTAGGCCCAGAGTCTTCTTTTGCCCCATTGTGGAGGAGTTGATGTCCATTTTAATGGAATGATAGACTGCTTCAGACAGGTCATCAAGAACAAGGGTGTCATGGCTCTTTGGAGTGGCCTTACAGCCAACATGGTGAAGGTGACGTCTGTTTTATGTACTTAGGTGGTGACGAGAGATAAAAATAACCCAAGCACTGCATGTTTTCTGTGTAAATGGTCATTCAAATTTCGATCTGTCATAAAAAAAATCGGACATGGTTGTATATTACACAAACATGCATTCTATGAAATTAATACAACAAATAGTAACATGAGTTTCTGGAGCTGGCTCCGCATGAAATAGCATGCTCAAATGTTTTCAGTGGTTGTTTCTGGAAATACCTTATATAAATAATGCATTTCCACTTCCTTGTTATTGATATTATGTTTTGTTTTATTCATTACAGATTGTCCCATATTTTGGTCTGCTCTTCAGTTGCTTTGAGATGTGTAAGCAACTCTGCCTTTACCGGAATGGCTATATCATTTCTCCACTAAGCTACAAACTTAAACCAGGTGTGGACCAAAGTCTGGGCCCATATGAACTGCAGGAGTTTAAGCGCTACCTGAGAAACAGAAAATCACACAAAGCACAAAGTTCATCCATAGGAAACCGCTGGTAACTAATCCCAAGATTTATCAGGAATAAACGGTACTCTGAGAAGTGCATTGATATTAAATATTTGTACTGCTCGAATGCACAGTGTATTATTCAAAGTGGTACTTTGCGAAGCATATTTGATTATTATGACTAATGTTTTACCTCTTGTTGCATTTAACTTCCGATATGGTATTTTAAGGATACTGCACATACATACTTGAAGCACAGTCCGTTACGTACATTCTACAGTACCTCAAACGCATCAGACATGCCCTTAAAGGAAATAAGTGTGTCTATGAGGTATTATTAAAGGTGCCCTTTCTTTTCAACATTGACATATATTGCTTTTAGCTTTACACTCCACTGAAATGGTGTTTTTAAGATCTGTCTAATCACTTCTCAGGAAAATATGTTGAACATCATTTCAACAGTTTAGAGCAATGCCTTTGTCAAACAAAGTATTAGTCTTTTACAGGATTTTTAGCTCTTTGACCTTTTTAAAGGTCTTCTGTTATTTATGAACCACGTGTTTTAAGGTCATATTGTGGTGCAGTTATGGCATTGGCTTTTTTGATCATACAGTATATGATGATTCTGAATCTGCATTGTAATGTAATATATACATATCCTGCTGATCTGGACACATGGTAACCCAGTAATTAACGAATCTCATTCGGCTGTAAAAAAAAAGGACAGGATCTGTTTAATGAAAGGTTATTTGTGGTTTTCGATGATATCATTAAGACATTTTTAAATGTTGCACATGTTAAGATAAAATCTTCAAGCACATTGTATAAAATCTTCAAGCACATTGTAAAAAATGATTAAGTATAAGCAATAAACATCTTAGACCTTGTTGTCAACGTATTGTATTATACACTCGCCATATTTTACTATTCGTTGATTGTTATATAATACAAACAACATTGGATTGCATTAGTAGAAATGACAGTGATTCAGATAGTATTGATTTTGTATTGCCTTCTGTAGTCACATGTTCCCAAAATGGATCACTGGCTTTGCCACAGTCAAAAGTCGTGTGAAGGACTTTGTTCTGACATGTTGGCCTTTTTCCTCTCACACACACATGTCCTTGGAGATCATTAACTGAAGGCAGGCAGCGATCTAGCTAGTAACAAACATGCATGCTATGTCACCTTGGAGAACTGCTTCTTAGCTTGACAGCTGAAAGGAAAAACTGGACAATCCTGATTCTTTTGATGTATTGGACTGTCAGTGTGTATCAAAAACTGTTCAAAAAGTGTGTGTGTTTTGTTACGTTTTAAATATTATTAGTCATGAATTATTGGCTACTTGGAAACAAAATTGTCTCTGTTTTAAAAACTTCCTGTTGTCATTTACGCTTTCCACCTTGAGAAGGCTTAAGGTTACTTTACTTTGAGCCATTCAACTCCGTCATCACGCGAAGACCCCGCCTTTTGGAACCTGTGACGTTTGGTCTACAGTCCAATCAAATCTTAAAGCGTTGGGTACGTATTTCTCTCGCGAGACGAACCTTTTAAAAACGTTGCTTCAACTTTTCAATCGGCCATTTCGAATCAGCCGGCATTCCACGCTGTTCCTGCGGCAGAGCGGGATATAACTTACCTCTTCAAGCTACACCTCTCTAAGAACATCCGACAATGAACGAGACCGCCGTTTCTTTCGCCAAGGACTTCTTGGCCGGTGGAATTGCCGCTGCTATTTCTAAAACCGCCGTGGCCCCCATTGAGAGAGTCAAGCTGCTGCTTCAGGTAATTTAACGTAATATATATTCGCAATGATATTATCGGAATTAAGTTATATAATCCCGTAATACAAAAATTTTTTTTATTCAAAAGTTCTGTATTGAGCGAAAGGTGAATACAACTAGCATAGGGTAACGTAAATCCTAGAACAGTTTATGGTTAAAATAAAACATAATATCCTTTTTAGATTTTTTTTCTTCATTTAACTTAACTTGCATGTTTAATTGAACCTCGAATGGAGATTCGCCTAACATAATAGTAACGTTGGACGTCTGACCAAACGAAAACCTCAATGTGTAAAATAACGGATGTTTCTATTACATGTTGAGCCGTTTTAAAACTGAGCTGGTCGTCAAATATTTCGTCAAAGTATCGAATAGCTAGCTACTAACGTTAGGCCTTGAGTGCTTGTAATTAACCTTTAGCAACCCTCCTCGAGAGAACAACTTGAGAAATGCCTCGATCGACAGCAATTGGCGCCCAAACGACTAGAATTTAACAGAGCTCAATGAGCTTGTTGCTTTACTAAGGTTTTGAGAAGAATCTTTTTATCTCTTTTAAAACACTTCCGTGAAACACGGTTAACCAGCATCCTCCCTCATCTCGCCAAGGTCGCAAGAAGGGGAGGCCTATGAATAGCTAGGCCTTTATTGCTAGCTTGCAAGCTAACGCTCTCGTCCTAGGACGATGAAGTCTCCGCTATTGTTTAAGAGGACACGTTGCTCTATGGGCGTATCATGTGTTAACATTTTGATTGAATGTTAAATACTTATAGCTCGTACACCATTTTACACAAATGGAAGGGTTTTCGTGATAATTCCAGTCGATTTTACAGGAACCTCTTACCGGAAGATATCGCGTATTTTTCGCGTTGTCGGCTTCTTTCGTTTCGCATGATCACGTGTTTGTTTCCTCGATTTTCTGTTAAGCCATCGCTATTTTAAACTATTTCCGCTTAATTTAGTTTTAGTTGCTTCAGTTTAGGACATTTGTAATCTCATTGACTTCTATTTATTGAATGACTTTTATTGTGTGCCTACATTGACTTCCTCCTGTGTTTACAGGTGCAACATGCTAGCAAACAGATAACAGTGGATAAGCAGTACAAGGGCATTGTAGACTGTGTGGTGCGTATTCCCAAGGAGCAGGGCTTCATCTCGTTCTGGAGAGGAAACATGGCCAATGTCATCAGGTACTTCCCCACCCAGGCCCTCAACTTTGCTTTCAAGGACAAGTACAAGAAGGTCTTCCTTGATGGCGTGGACAAGCGCACCCAGTTCTGGAGGTACTTCGCTGGTAACCTGGCCTCAGGTGGTGCTGCTGGTGCTACATCCCTCTGCTTTGTGTACCCCCTCGACTTTGCAAGAACCCGTCTGGCCGCCGATGTCGGCAAGGCTGGAGCAGGAAGAGAGTTCTCTGGCCTGGGTAACTGCTTGGCACAGATCTTCAGGTCTGATGGCCTCAAAGGATTGTACCAGGGCTTCAACGTTTCTGTGCAGGGTATCATCATTTACAGAGCCGCCTACTTCGGCATCTATGACACAGCCAAGGGTGAGTCCACGTTGAGTTTTAGGTATGATCTTCAGTGTGTGCTATTGCTGCATTCTTTATATCTGCTCTTTTGTCTTTAGGTATGCTGCCAGATCCCAAGAACACCCACATTATTGTCAGCTGGATGATCGCTCAGTCTGTGACTGCTGTTGCTGGTCTTGCATCCTACCCCTTCGACACAGTCCGTCGTCGTATGATGATGCAGTCTGGACGCAAAGGAGGTCAGTTGCTGCTTTACTTAAACTTTTACAGTACAAGTTGACTAGTTCAAGCAGTGGATTAACTTTTTATTTTCTATTGCAGCTGACATCATGTACAGTGGCACAATTGACTGCTGGAAGAAGATTTCACGTGATGAGGGTGGCAAGGCTTTCTTCAAGGGAGCCTGGTCCAATGTTCTCAGAGGCATGGGTGGTGCATTTGTGCTGGTCTTGTATGATGAGCTGAAGAAGGTCATGTAAATGTTTCCTGTCCACCATTCAATGTGAGATGTTTAACTGTAACATATCTTGTAAATTTGGAAGGACTCTCAAATTCCGCCTTATTTATAGGGACCAACTAGTATGTCAGTACTAGTTGTACTGGGGGAATTGTTTTTTGCGGTTTTCTTTTGCCCCATCTTATTTTTCCTCTTTTTGTTCCACTCACCATACTGTCATTCCCAGAAAGAAAGAATGCCGGGTACTAAAATCTACCTGTTTTCCAGCCGGTCTGTTTTTAGTCGATGCATCAATAAAGACCCACTGAATGAACCTAAATCATAACTTGTCTTTTTTTTTTCTTTTTTTTGTTGCGTTACAGGTATTAAATGATTCACTCACTTGGATTGCTTCTGCCCTGTTCCTTAATTCAGAGTCCACACCCTTTAAAAAACCTGTCCACAAACTGAACTAGCAGAATTATTCTAGGCATTTTTGCACTTAAAAGATCCTTGGCTTGTCAGATCAATGTGACCTAAGGCATTCATTTTTTACATGGTATTAAAATACATTTCTTGCAGCATTTGTAAACTGCACCACAGAGTTGTCACATAGAAGTGTCCAAGTGTTTATTCAAAGGCTAGACTTCACACATGCCTTTAGAGGTGTTCCTGGATGGCAGGCAGTATTTTATTTCTTAAGATGCAACCTCATACCCTGTTGGCCCTCCAGAGTTGTGCTTGAGTCTCAGCCAAGGACAGCTGAGGGGACTCTTGTGCCACTCAATATAATTCAGTCCTTCAAAACTGTTGTGCATGTTGCTGTATAATCTAAATATCAAAATGGGTCGTTCAATATGCTGTTTTATATGCTTCTGCATCTTTACATTTGAGGTGTATTTTGAAGTTTTGGTTTACCAAAGAAATGCATATCTGCAAATTGAGTTAACTTTTAAGCCTGCAGAATAACATGAAACTAATTGAAATAGGGGGAATTTGCTGAATCTTGAGATGGTCATAGTGGTGCAGGTGACCTAATGTTAGCAACAATGATAAAATTTAACAGTTGTGAGGCTAATGGCTCTCCAGTGTGATCCACTATTGGAGAAGGTGGCTCATATATGCCCTCTTACGCTAAAAACTTTGGTGACCTCTTAGTAGACATCAAGCTAGTCGTGAATTAGCTCACTAATCTGTCCTTGCATCACCTTCACTTCAAGCGTGGAGTTCTTGAGTGTGGTATTACAGGATGTTAAGCAGGGATAAATAGTGGATGGTGTTGATAATAGAATATGGCCTTCTGAATGAGTGCAATTAGTTTTTGAAATAATTTCTCAGGGACTATGGGGCAGTTCAATTTTAAGACTAAACTGTTTTAGAACCGTGTTGATTTAAGTCATTTTGATTGCTTCACATTCCACACTAACACAACTGTATGGATTAATAAATATTTTGAGATTAATGTAATTTTCATTAGCTACGCAAATCGTAGCAAAAGAAATAAAGGAAAAATGCACATCACATGGATTTACCACCTGTCCTGGCTCCTGTTTCGGCACTGTTAGGTGAGAAATGTGTTCAGTTTAGTGGAGCAAATGACAATTTCCCTGCTATATCGTGTTATGCATTAACATGATGAGCAGCAGATTACGCAACACGCCACTGCATGTTCGCTCTTGGACGTGACGTAAATCCTGGAAGGCGGTTCAAACTTGCGCTGGCTGGCAGCAGGCGCTACTCGCAGCAGATCACGTGACTGGATTCGGTCGTATGGTGCTATTTTTATGGGTTTAATCTGGCTGGCAGTGGCACTGGCAGTAGGCTCTATTCCATCATGTGACTGTAGAGGTTTAATCATATGCTAGCTGCCTGAATGAACCTGTCCAAGAATAATCAATTTCTCTTCTGCTAACTGGATTGCTGATCCTGCTAGGAAAGTGGTGGTACTTAATAGCCTAGCCATGAGGCTTTTGATTAATCTCAGAGACCCGTTCACAAAAAAAGATTCATTGATTCGTTCAGTGGTCCTTTTTACAGACTAGAAGGTTAACGTTACGACAGTAGACAGAGTAATGAATTTGGAATATAATAGTAGGCTACTCTATATATACCATGGCAGAAATGTTGGCATGATAGTAGGGTGAATGCCGGTAAAGTGGGCCGTTTAAGCTGCATTGTACTTTGCTCAATGGGTTTACTATTTTAGAGCACAACGATGGTCTTTAATTAAAGAGACACTATTTCTTTAAATGATAAAATAGTTTTGGTTGATGCAATATGACACTGGTGGGTGGCCCTCAAGGTGAAATATATATGTTTTTTTTTTTTTTTTTTTTTTTTTTTACAATATTACCATAAATGTTTCTTTTAACTATGTGTTAATCATGTGTTTTTAATTAAGATACAGGATAATTTTTGATAAATCAGGGATGGCCCACTTTACCTGAAATTTGTCTGGAGTGCATGATCTAAAATGTTTATTGGTTTATACCTTACAAATAACATATTATATGAACTGTATTAAAAAAATATTATAGCTGGACCTTAAACTACTGGTAGCCTATTATCAAACTACTGAAGACTACAGCTTATATAAGAGCTAACTTCCTTTCATCGACCATGTTCATTTTGTATGATTCGTTCAGTTCTATTCGTCCACGATCACACTAAAGTGTTAAAACTTAAACAAGTTACAACTATAAATCATATTTTCCACAGTTATATTTAGCCGGTAGAATGACTATAATATAATTAGCCTATAGGCTATACTATACTATAACTATATAACTATAATATAAACAATAATAATAATACATTTAATTTAGTAGGCTACTATACGTAATAAATGTAATACTGTTATGTTATATTTTTGTCATATCACCCAAGTTCTCACTTCCTGTTTTTACAAAGACATTAAAGAAGTGTACAACGTGTGCACTGTGCCACCCAGCGGCGAAGAATGTTAATGTGGACTTTCACTGTATGCTTGATATTTTGTGTCGCATGGTGCCTGCTTTAATACAGTAAGCAATTTAGTCATTTCATAGCCTTCACAGTAAACTGTATTTCGTAATATATTGCAGTGAACGATTCACTTAAAGATCGTTTCGTTCATAAAGTGTAGGTACTGAGAACTGCACCATGCAGTTATTACATACAGAGAGCAGATTATAGAAAAGATAATCAGACGTTCCAGGAAGGGAAAAAATACTAGGCCTACGACATCTTCAGGTGCACCAATCACATTACAATGGCAAGTTCCTCTTACCATAAACACTTACCTTCCGGTTCTGCGGTATGATTCTGGTCTGGATGAAAGCTGAAGGGAGGGATAAAGTGTAGCGTTTAAAAGGACGAATGAAGAACGCTAGTGAAGGAATTTCATTCTGAACCTGGACCTTTTTTAAAAAAATGTACAATTGGCGATGCTTTCTCGCTATTATATTTGTACTTGTTTGGTACTTCTCAGAGTTTGGACAAATATGGACACAAGCGTTCTTTTGTTTTTTATGCTTTTTAAATTTCCCTTTCAAAAAGCAAGACCGTGAAACAAGCACTCAAACGGATGATACACCCGAGGAAACAGCACGACAGGTAACATTGTGTTCATGTATATATCTATGTGACTTGAGAACATTAACAATAGTTCTGCCGGACTGTTATTATTATTAGGCTATTATTATTATTACTTTGAACAAGTTCATGGAGTGATTGACACTGTCCTGTTGGAAAAACTAACGTAGCTGGTAACTGTGTTTCTGGTTGACCAGACGACCAGGTGGTCTAAGATTTTCTCCCAACTTGCACCAGCTAAAGACTACTCGTGAACCAGCTAAACCAGCTACTGTGTCCCAAAACAAAGCTGCTAGCTTATGTTTTTTTTTTTTTTTTTTTTTTTTTTGCAGTGTAATAGAAGACATATCTGTAATGGTTATTGTAAATGGATGCATATAACAATAAAGTAAATAACTTTTTTAGACAGAACTGTGGGAAGAACGTGGAAAGCAGCATCACTTCATTATTAAATGCTTTAGACTTGTGCCGGTTCTCACGTCCAGAACACTTTTTGTTCCTTATTTTTGTATGTAGGGTCTTCCAGAAAGAAAAAAACCAAAGCTCATGCTGACCTAATTTCTGTATGACTCTGAAATCAGACATCATCCGTTTAATATCTTGCACCTTATCCTCCTGTTTCAGTCAAAGAAAGGTCACAATGTTGGTGCCATTGATGAGACTGATGCCGCCAGAACCGGACAAATTGTGTCTCAGACAAAGCAATTTCCAAATGTACAGAGGTCTCTCCTCCGGGGTAAATAATAATTTTGTTGTTCACACGCTTCACCCCCGTTATGCCTATCTAGCATGTCTGGAAATTACTGAGATCTTGTTTTTTTTCTTGATCCCATGACACATTTTGAAATTTGTTCAAAAGATGACATACAACAGAAATGCAGGATCAGAAAATATGATAAAAGAATTCTCATAGGATTGTGTGCCTCTCTTTTAGGAAATGTCATTTTATATCCTTCATTTCCTCATCAAAAGTGATAGACATGTATGGCATTAAAGTGAGATCACTGCAGTTGTGCATGTCATGATTACATTTCGTTTTTTCTTTTGTAGTGTTTAAATGTGCCTATACTCACCTGATCCAGCCATGGTACACTGTCCCAGAACTTGGCGACAGTCAGCCCCTTTATAGGGCACTACAGGAGGAGTATAGTTTTGTTGTCGAGAAAATTATTTGCAAGGCCAAGAACTTTGATCTGTCTGCTACAAGTGTGGGTTGTATTAGGATCTTCACTCACCACCTGCATAATGCAAAACAGTCAGACAGGTGAGCATGTTTGTCTGTAGCCTGATATACTGCAAAATATTCTGGCGTGAGTGACACCACTGTATTGTTATGATTTCGTGAACTTCCTTTCTTTTCTATTTTATTCGTAGTTCTTTTTAGAGACCATAAGCAGAACTGGGTCTTATGATTCTTGAGCTTGTGTTTTAAAAGCTATGAATTTCTGCCAAAAGTGATGGACTTTCCATCCTCACCTATGATTAATCACCTGATGCAGTTCCAGGAATACTGCTAGTGAAATGCAAATTGGCCTGTTTCTGTTTCAGATCTCCAGTGTTCAGTTCAAGGTCAGAGGAAATGGCAGTCCTCAGAACTTTCTCTGAAGCTCTGGTGCGAAACCTTTTCCCTGAGTACCTCTGGGAAGCAAAACTCTACCAGTCTGTCCTAACTGAGATTGTAGCTACAAAAGGTTAGCCCTACTGACCTTTGTGCTAAATACTTTCTAATGATCTTTCTAGTGATCAGAACTTTCCAATCAGCTATCTGGCATCAACATTTGTAGCATTCATTCTTAAGGATAGTATCTCTGAAACAAACATTACTTTGTCACTCGTTGCTTCAAGGATTGTCTCAGCATGTCTTCACTGCTTCTACAGACTTGTTTATCCACATTTTTTTCTGTGCCTAAATACTCAAGGCCATCAAAAGAAACTAATATCTTCACTACAAAGAGTGTTTTTTTCCCCTCAATTGTCTCCAATGTCATATTTAATATAATTTCAAAATGAAATGTTTTATAGAATTAATTGTTAACTAATACGAGTTTAAAAAAAAAACACCAATTCTTGAATGTTGGTGCATTTAAATTGTCTGTCACAAAAACATTTACTGTCTTTCTTAACTCACACTCTTGGAAAGATTGCGGGGTCAGTGTGATTTTTAATGCTTTTGAAAGACGTCTCTTTATGCTCACCAATGCTGCATTTATTTGATCAAAAATACAGTAAAACAGTAATATGAAATATTATTACAATTTAAAATAACAGTAAAATGTAGTTTACTCCTGTGATGGCAAAGCTGAATTTTCAGCATCATTACTTCAGTCTTCAGTGTCACATGAGCCTTTAGAAATCATTATAATATTCAGATTTGGTGCTCAAGAAACATTTCTTCTTCTTATTATTAATGTTAAAAATATTATTTATGTCAATATTTTTGTGCAAACATGCGATACATACTTTTCAGGATTCTTTGATGAATTGAAATCAATCCTACTGACCCCAAAAGTTGTTATTTTTGTGATATACCAATTGTATTGTTCATTTTCTACTAATACACTGATTCTTTGTTACTCCTGCTGTCCATGTCTAGCACTTGATGTGCTTGTGACATGCCTCTGTAATCCAGACAACCTGAATCAGATGGTGGTTTTGCAGTTGGATAGAGTAACCCCTAAAAGCTCAATGGGAGACCTGGTAAACTCAAATAGGGAAGGCACACCATCCTCTATGGGAAGTGAAGAAGCAGAAGAGTAAGTCATCTCTATACATTTAGTCTAAGTATATTTTCATATCAGTCTCTTTTTCATATCAGGCCTCTTTCTGCTTTCAAACTTGTGGATTGAAATTCCACAGATTGACAGATGAAGCAGAGGACGGTCGGTCTGAAGACATTAAAGGAAAGAAGAAGGGTGGTGTATCTTTCTCCTTTATCTCAGTCATTTGATTTATGTATGTGTACATGAATAATATAATTAAGTAATTGTTTTTCTTTTTTCTAAGTAGGCAATAGAATCAAAGAACAATTTTCTAAATTTGTTGATAAGGTCAAGTTAAAGAAAGCCAAAAAGAACAAACTCAAGAAGGAGCAAGAGCTTTTTCAGAGGGCTTTATCAGCACGTAGATCTGCTGTTATTGAAGATGATGGTGCATGCAGCAGAGAGGGCTCCATCAAAAGCTGCCTGGACTCTGATTATGTATGGAATATACCAGCAAATGTTAATATTGAATTGATTTACAAAGTTTTCGGTGCAATTGACGCTGTCTGTGCTCTCTTTTAAAAGGACAGTGAAACGGATGTTTACCTAACAACTCTCCAAGAGGATTTGATGGAGTTTAAGCTTTCCTATGAGATGTGGCGGGTGGGGAAATGGGCAGTCCGTGTCACAAATGTGAGACATATTTTAAAACAAAGAAAGCTAAACAATGTGCAATCTTAATTGAGTTTAATAATTTAATAATGATGATGAAAACAACGTCTTAGGTTCAGAAGGAAAGTGAAGATCTGTGTTTCACGGTTCACCTGGAGGAAAGAAATAACCCTGAGAATCTCCACTGGGATGTGAAAAAGACCCAGTCAGATATACTTAATTTTTATAGCCTCTGGCAGGTGAGAGGGGAAATGGTGAGGAATCTTCCAAGCATCGTTTCTATTGAAACCTGTAGTATTTTGTTTTATAGTCATTAATATTTGACTCTTATTATTAATTATTCTTAATAAATAATTGTAGTTGCTCGCTTTTAAAACGTTTTTTTTCTTCTTTTTTTTTTCTAAGGATACTTCCACTTTACCCTCTATTTCTGCAATAGTAGAAAACACAGAAAAGGAACTTGATGACGCAAACACAGAGGAAGTGAGATCAGCCTTTGAGCACTTTTTACAGGTAATGGCAGTCACACACTCACTGTCTAAAAAAATGTAAGAGGGAGTTGCAAGTAGAATGTCAGTAATTATACATACCTGGAAATGTTTTCCCCTTATTTCTCTAAAGGAGCTGGTTTCTGATGCGCAGCTTGGTCACACTCAGCCTGTATTCCAGTTCTTGGGCCCTTTTGCAGGGCTGCTGAGTGATAAGGAACATGAGGGAGGTGTGTGGAGTCTTCTAAATGGACTTGCAAGCTTCCTCACTCCTAGCCACGATGAGGAAGAGGTAAGAACAGATTTTAGGTCAATAGATTAAAGTCCCCCTGTAGTCAATCATTTTATCCCTCATAGTTGATAACCAAAATGACATATTTATTTAATTCTTCATGCCTTAAAATAGCTTGAATGTTATTCGACACCCTTGCTTCATTTAGTATATGCGGATCCAACGATATGCAAAGTAGTCTCCGTCTCCGTACAATCACTCAAGCTTAGAATACCTGATCCACTCGCTCAACTTTTCTGTAGTAAACGCTTCACAATGGCAAGTGGAAATACTGGTTTAATTCAGCCATATATGTTTGAACCAGAAACTGATTCAGAAGAAGAAGAGGGAGAGTGAATTATAAAGGCTCGTCTTCAAAGTTGATGTATCAGGATGGTAATGCGTTTTAAGTGTTGCTAAAACTTCGGACAAATAATGATAGACATATAAACAACATTAATAATGTTATTAGATTGTCTTTAAAGACCATTTGATCCATTTGACTTTTTGTGAGTTAGCTTTTCTTTTTTGTTTGTTTTGACCCCATACTGGGCAACAGATATAGATCATCAGTTTCATTATTAGATTGAAGACAATCTAATAATGAAACTGATGATCTACATCTGTTCAAAAGTTTGGGGTCAGTAAGATTTTTTTAAAATTAAATTAATACTTGTATTTACAAGATAAATAATTAATCAAGTTACAGTTTACATTGTTACTTTTTTTTTAATGCTGTTCTTTTCTAACTTTCTATTGATCAAAACAGCACAACTGTTTTTAACATTTATAGTAATAAGAAATGTTTCTTGAGCAGTAAATCAATGATTTCTTAAAGATCATGTGACACTGAAGACTGGAGTAATGATGCTAAAAATTCAGCTTTGACTTCACAGGAAAAAATATATTCAAAAAGAAAACTGTTATTTTAAATCATGATATTACTGTTTTTACTGTACTTTTTATCAAATAAATGCAAAAATGTAAATTGTCATTAATTATTCACCCTCAGTTAATTGTCATTAACTATTCCAAACACATAAGGTTTACTACCTTTCTGGGCCTTGAAAGTGGTGATTGCATTGCAGTCTATAGAAGGGTCAGAAAGCTCTGGGATTTCATAAAAAATTTCTTAATTTGTGTTCCAAAGATAAACAAAGGTCTTATGGGTTTGGAATGTAATTAATGTAATTAATGACACAATTTTTTTCAGTTTCAGTTTTTGGGTGAACTGTTCCTTTTGAACGGTAGTGTATTTCTATCAATATTTTATATATTTGGATCAATATAGCCTACATACTCCAAGATTTGATATCTTGTCCAAATGTAGATATGGTTTGTTGTTGATTTACAGTACACGTTTAGCTTGAATTGGCTTCAATTACCAGAGCACAGTGTCAATTATTGAGAATACCGCCACCCTCTGGTGATACAGGTAATTGAATGTTACTATGTTTTTTTTCCCAGTCCCAGAACTGTAGAGGAGAGGATAAGCTTGAAGCTGAAGCAGGAGCCCCAAAACATCACGGTGGACCGACAGCACAGCAAGCCTGCATTGATACACAAGAGCCAAAGGGGGGTGTTGTAGAAGGGCCAATGGCTACAATCGTACGGTTTTGTAACCCCCATGAAGAGACTGACCCCTTTAAAAGTAAAGAACCAGATATACAAGACAACGATCAGATCTCTGAGGATGCTGATGTGGTTTCTGATGGGCAGGAGAGTCTTGCTGAGAGCGTGGATATCTTTGTTAATAGGTCAAAATTAGTCATTCCCACAGTATACTCCAATGATATCTCAAGCTCAGTCATGAGCCATACTGAAGGCTTGCAGTCTGACTCAGTCGACGGCGTTAGAATTGCCCAGTATGGGGTCAAAACAAACAAAAAAGAAAAGCTAACTTACAAAAAGTCAAATGGATCACAAAAGTTCAAAGTAAAAGAGAAAACTGGACAGTTCAAGGACGAGATGACAAATCAGCCTCAGAAAAAGGAACCCCAGACCAATTGGGAGCAGGTTGAGGCCACCAAAGCCATATTTGATTTATTGAAGGAAATAACCGGTATGTAACTCCTTGTTCTGTTTGGCTTTTATGATGGGCAAGAACTGAAACTAAAAACTAAAAAATTTTCTTTGCCCTTTAATTTTTGTCTTTACCCTTTTCAGGTAACTCAGTCCTCATTAATATTGTTGATGCCATTCTAAAACCAGTCCAGCCTTTGGTAAAGAAGTAAGTATTTAATAGTATATTTATTCAAATACCAAGGTTGTTTAGCTGTAGATGTGAAAATAAGCATAAGCTTTCGTTCCATGCAGGAAAATAAACAACTTTTTAAAAAGGATGCATCCTACCAAAGATCAGATTGCATCCTACATTGACATTTTCCGGGAGAAGATATGGCCAGATGGAAACGTACCCCAACAGCCGCCACGGGACAGTGAGGAGAAAAAAGAGACCAAGGAAAAGGCTTTGCAGCTTATAAATTCAAAATGTACGTGCAATATTTTCCCATGCTGTGATGAGCCCTCTCACTTTTTAAATGATTCCTTCATCCTTGTAATTGTCGTGACATGGTGGTTTTAGATTCAAACTCTCTAATCTTTAAGAAGACTGATGTGGAAGCGGTGTTTAAGATATTCCAAGACACGGAGGAGAACAAGAAACTGGTCTATGTGAGAACTCTAGCTATGATTATTATTTTTCTTCTTACTTAATTAAAATCCATTTTTGAAATACATTCAAAGGTTAACCAGATTCACATTTATATTCTTTGTGTGTGTCCGTAGAGGCTGCTTTCGTATGTTCTAATGGAGTTCCTGCCTGGAGAACCTGCCTTCAGTTCAATAGCTAATCTAACTGTGAAGGATTGTTTTTCATTATAGAAAAAGGGTATTTTATTTTATTATTTTAATAATTTGTTTTTAAATGTGCATTACTTAATATTTTATATGAATATTCTTCAAAGATGCATTCTGATATTCCTCATTGAGGCCATGAGCAGCATGAACACTTGTTTATTGATTTATTGATATTTTATATTCAATAAAAATGTTAACCTCTGTTTAATTTAGCTTACATTTACATTTACATTTAGTCATTTAGCAGATGCTTTTATCCAAAGCGACTTACATCTGAGGACTAAAGCAAGCGAGTCATCGTGAAGAGGGAAGAACGACGCAAGAAGTGCTCAAAATACAAAGTTCAGGCATTGCTCAGAGTAGCAAAAGCCAGACAAGGGAAGATTTAAAAGAGAAGGAAAGATTTAAAAGAGAAGATTTTTTTTTTTTTATGTTAAGTACTCACGGAAGAGATGAGTTTTCAGTTGTCTTTTGAATGCTGTCAGGGATTCTGCATTACGGACGAGGGTGGGGAGTTCATTCCACCAGCATGGAACCGTGAATGAGAATGTTCTGGAGAGTGATTTAGTGCCTCGCTGTGATGGCACCACGAGCCGCCGATCGTAGGCTTCTGGTAGGGACGTAGACTTGTAGTAGGGAGTGAAAGTAGGACGGAGCTGAGTCTGTGGTAGATCTGTAAGCAAGCGTCAAAGCTTTGAATTTGATGCGAGCAGCGAGTGGTAGCCAATGCAGGGAGATGAACAGCGGAGTGACGTGGGCCCTTTTGGGCTCGTTGAAGACAAGGCGGGCTGCAGCATTCTGGATCATTTGTAGAGGTTTAGTAACACATGATGGAAGTCCAGCCAGAAGAGCATTGCAGTAATCAAGCCTAGAAATAACCAGGGCCTGGACGAAAAGTTGTGTTGCATGCTCAGTTAGGAAAGGCCTGATCTTCCCGATGTTATACATTGCAAACCTGCATGATCGAGCTGTCTTTGTAATGTGGTCTGTGAAGGTCAGCTGGTCATCATATTACTCCAAGATTTCTGACTGACCTTGATGGGGTGATTGAGGATGACTCTAGCTGGATAGTGAAGTCGTGCTGTAGAGACGGATTGGCAGGGAGGACGAGAAGCTCAGTCTTTGCCAGGTTGAGCTGCAGGTGATGTACCTTCATCCATGCCGAGATGTCCGCCAGACAGCTTGAGATCCGTGCAGCTACTGTGGGATCATCTGGTTGAAATGAGAGGTGGAGCTGTGTGTCATCAGCATAGCAATGGTAAGAGAAACCATGTGCCTGTATGATGGATCCCAATGATGTGGTGTAGATGGAGAAGAGGAGTGGTCCAAGAACTGAACCCTGAGGAACCCCTGTGTTCAGTTGATGTGCTTTGGATACCTCGCCTCTCCATGTAACCCTGAAGGACCTACCTGTGAGATAGGACTGAAACCAGTGGAGGGAAGTTCCTTTGATGCCCAGTGATGAGAGGGCGGACAAGAGGATCTGATGATTCACAGTGTCGAAGGCAGCAGAAAGATCCAGCAGAATGAGAACTTAAGATTTGGAAGCAGCTTTTGCAGGGCTTCTGTGACCGACAGTAGTGCAGTCTCGGTTGAATGGCCTTTCTTGAAGCCAGATTGGTTGACATCCAGCTGGTTGGTCAGAGACAGGAAAGATGGTACTTTGTTGAAAGCAACTCGTTCAAGTGTTTTCGCAATGAATCGTAGGAGAGAGACAGGTCTGTAATTCTCTAAAAGTGATGTCTAATGTTGTTTTTTTAAGCAGTGGAGTTACCCGAGCCTGCTTGAATGCTGTAGGGAAAATGCCAGTGTGGAGGGATGAGTTGATGATGTGTGTGAGTGCTGGTAGAAGTGTGGGAGAGATGGCTTGTAGAAGGTGTGAGGGGATGGGGTCTAGAGGGCAGGTGGTAGGATGAAAAATCATAAGCTTTTGTGCTACTGTGTAAGCTGTGTAAGCTACTGTACTGTGCTACTGTGTAAGCTAGCCGTTGTAAGCTACTGTGATTGTTGACAAGGTCAAGTTAAAGAAAGCCAAAAAGAACAAACACAAGAAGGAGCAAGAGCTTTTTCAGAGGGCTTTATCAGCACGTATATCTGCTGTTATTGAAGATGATGGTGCAAGCAGCAGAGAGGGCTCCATCAAAAGCTGTGATTACTGTGATATCACAATACCTTTGGTGTAAATTTTAAACTTTTTAAAAAAAAATGATCACTGTATAAGTTCACTTTCTGTTTTGTTCCTTAAAATTGTGCACTGTGAAGAACTTTTTTTTTTTTCTATTTTAAAAACAGCACAGCTTACTCAGGACAAAATAGATAAAGTCATTAAGCTACTGATTATGATTTTACAACAAGACTTAATACAGGGTATGTGAGGAATGTATGTGAATAATAATATTGCTAATAAATCTATTTTACTAATAATTGCGAGTCGTTTTATTTCTTGCACCTTATTAAATTGAAATATAAAGGAAAAAAATGAACAGTTAACATTTTCTGTTTCATATTATTCTACTCGACTGCAAGGTTACAGTATTAAATGTTTGCTCCTGTACCTACTGTCAAACCCATGACGTAACTGTTAGTCCGCTACAACTGCGCGTGTTCGGAGGGGTTTCTGTAAACTACCTTAACCATATTTATGCTTATTATTAAACAAAACAGTCTAATTATTAATGTCAGTACTCTTACATCTTCTTAAAAAAAAAAAACGAATAGGTTTATGGGTTTGTGAACGAGCTAATTTTTATTTGAGCCGTTGTTTCTCCCCCACTTTATGTTGGTATGGTCCAGTCCCAGAGAGACGAGCTTAGTAGAGAAAACAGGCAGGAGGATCCAAGCAAGCGAAAGGCTAACGTCGATATTTAACTGAATCGACCAAACCGACGTCCGCTAAACTAAAATAATTTAACCTAATTCAAAGTAACGACGTCGATACCTTATGTTTACGTCTCGGCTATCCAATTAAACTATGTCAACCCCAGCAAGACGGCGTCTGATGAGAGATTTTAAACGGTAAGCGACAGAGAATGCTAAAGGCCCCTGGGTGCTTTATGGACACCGGCTACTCTCGGGGTTTAATATGGCGACTTTCCCCCCATAAAATACATTTAGTAACGACACTACCCCTCTCCGATAATGTATTTTGGAGGTCATCTGTGCGGTATGAGGTGTTGTCGTAATGTAGGTACAGTATATGTAATGTAACTTCTAAAGATAACTTGTTTTTCAGTCTCCAGGAGGATCCTCCAGCCGGAGTTAGCGGAGCCCCGTCTGAAAACAACATCATGGTCTGGAACGCTGTCATTTTTGGGTTTGTATCATTTGCTTTTCTTGACCGCGATAAACCGTTAACAGAACATATTGACACTTGTTTATCTCAGACCAATTCGAGGTCTATGGGATTCAGGTTAGCGGTAATATAAGCAGTTTTAAATAGGCCAGATGGCCAGTGGACCCCATAAGAGGTGCTGGTTATTTGATCTTTAAGTGACGGTGTCCTGAATGGAGCAGTGTTTTGTGTTGTCTTGTGGTGAAGGAAGCAGGTTATAATGTCATATCCGTAGACTGTTGTGCCTTGTTATTTTTGGATTAGAGTAATGCGCAGGGCTCTTGCACATTGGCCAGTGGTTTTGGCTTTGTTTCTTGCTGTCATGCCAAGTGTTATGTGTAACCTGACATGTTGACCCATTTCTTCTACCTACAGCCCTGAAGGAACACCATTTGAAGATGGTAAGTCAAGAAAATACAAGCTTCAGTCTTCATTGTCACATGATCCTTCGGAAATCATTCTATGTTGATTTGGTGCTCAAAACCCTTTCTTATTATCAATGTTGATAACAGTTGTGCTGCTTGCTTCTTTTTGTAAAATAATAGTTTTTTTTTCAGTGGTCTTTGATGAATATAAAGCTTTTGTAACATTACTTTTACTGTCACTTTTTAAATTTTATTGTCCTTTACTTTCTAAATAAAAGTCATTTCTTTCTTTAAAAAACAAAACAAAACAAACTACATTGACAGCTGAGTAAGTATTGAGCTTTGGGTTCTAAATAATATTGTTGGCAACCGCTTATACATGCCATTTGGAATGGTGTAATTCTTTTGTTTACATCTGGCAAATGGTTTTGCTTCATATTTTCTTTTTCTGCTTGTCATAGGAACTTTCAAACTCACAATAGAATTTACAGAAGAATATCCAAACAAACCTCCTACAGTCCGGTTTGTCTCCAAAATGTTTCACCCTAATGGTAAGTTTTAGAAACTTAGTGATTTTTGTATTTATAAATTCCTTGGACTTAAAGCTGCAGTCCGTAGCTTTTCCTCTTTGTCGCCATCTCTCTGTTCGAAATCTGTAACTGCAGTGATTCGCGGAATTATCATCTTTACGTGGGTTGTAAATCGGCATGAAACAGCGTGGATGAACACAGTGCTTTGAGGCGAGTGTTGCTGTCAGTCACCGCGCTGTGTGGATACTGTCATACAGAATCACAGATTCACTTTTTGAAAGTTTGACCAACATAAGAATTTTCATAAGAAAATGTCTTCTGAACAAGTAAGTAACATCCATTTTTGTTCTGACCAACTAAGGGGGAAAAAGCATTCGACATGATAAGCTTCGTTAGATTTAATCAGCGCGATTTACAGCAACCGTGCAAATTATAGCCTACTTTGTTCTCAAATTGTTCATGTTAACAACATCAGCATTGCGTGACTAATGTTAAATTTAATGTGTTTTATGATTACCTGTTTAGTTCAGAATTCATATTCTCCATAATAGCAAAACGAGAAAGGCACAACAAAGGAAACTCCATAACTGTGTGAATTAAGAAAACGCACTGTTACACGATTGAACTATTGAAATGTCTTAACTTACTTGTTCAGCAGAAAAAAGCCGTCTCTTCTTCCGTTTTGAACCCCTTCAAAACACGGAGTTCACGCACTTTTCAAAAGCCCCGCCAATGTTTAAATCCTTGTGTTCGCATGAGACGGTTTCTTTCTCTTTCTCTAGCCACCTTAAATCCGAAGTACGAAGTCTTTTGGGTTTTATAACTGCTGAATCTCCAGTTGACACTGATGATTGTTGTTTGGATCTTTCTGGATGCCATAAGTTTAATTATGTAAAGTGCTGTGAGAAAAACCTATACATCTAAACATCTCGTCACGCGCAGTATAGCCGGCTAGCCGAAACTTCTTTATGTGTACGGGTGTGACGTAATGACGCAAAGACATGCTTGAATTTCCCGTGGAAACCCACCAGTACCACTGGAATTAAAATCATTATTACAAGCTAACCGTTTTGAATCTAGCTATGGCAAGCAGATAGTTTTGACCACTGGCAGAATAAGTTTTTTTTAATATAATTATTTTGGATTATTTTTAACTTAAAAAAAGCTACGGACTGCAGCTTTAAGATTACTTAATGTGCACATATATCAAATGCTAGAAATAAGTATGTGCCAATGGACCATAAAATCTAATTGTCTTTCTTTGTGTTCAGTTTATGCAGATGGTAGTATATGTTTGGACATTCTTCAGAATCGCTGGAGTCCAACATATGATGTTTCTTCAATTTTAACCTCAATACAGGTACATGTGTGCACTTCTTTCTGCTTTTTTGCACAGACTAAATGTTTTAATTAACGAGATTTTTTGAAACTTTTCTTTTTGCTATTTTGATGGTACCATTAAAAAAAATGTGAGGACATTATTCAGGTTGTTAACATGCCTTTCACTTGTCACAGTCTTTACTGGATGAGCCGAACCCAAACAGCCCTGCCAACAGCCAGGCAGCGCAGCTGTATCAGGAAAACAAGAGAGAGTATGAGAAACGTGTGTCGGCCATTGTGGAACAGAGCTGGCGCGACTGTTGACCCTCCTTACAGTTCCCATACGAACAATAGTCCGCCTCAGCCAATGAGAGGAAAACCACCTTGCAAAGCATAAAATAAAACACATCATGATTTGAATCATTCTCCACTTATTCAGTAGAATTGTCTGTTCTGTAGCTGTTGCAAGATTAGAGTGCTGTTGTGTTGTGGTTTCCCTCTTCATGCAGAACCTTATCTTGGAGGAGGATAAACCTTAATTTAACAAAATATTGTTGCCAGGGTTACTTGCTTTTATTTGGCCAGCCCTCATTTTGGTCATCTTTATTTCCTTATACACTGTGGGCTGATTTCATTTGGGTTATTAACATGTTGGTTGCTGTTTTCAGTATGATATCTTTGTTTGAATGTAGAGATTTTGTTGCGCCTCTGCAAAAGTGTCATACTATTCAGAGTTCCAAATTAAATGGCAAGGACATTAAAGATGGTTGATACATTGTCTGGTATGGAAAGCGTACATGTTTCGGAAACATGCCTTTATAACTGCACTTGGAAAACCTGACTTTTTAAAACCAAATGTGGGAAGTGGCCCTTTTTATCAAGTGAAAGTGGTTTGTTCTTTTAATTCAGCAGTTCATATTGATGTTTAAGGTGTTGCCTATTGACACTGACTGCATGCTGTTGTCATGTCAGCAGTAATTGTTTGAAGGTACACAGTGATCTATCTCAACATAACAAATTGGCATCTTTAAGTGTTTTCTTTAGTTCTGTGTTCACTATTTTCTGTCTGTCGCACATTCTTCTTGCTTTTTTAAAATTCCATTAAAAGGACAGTTTATTTTTGACATTGAATTGCTCCTCCAAACATATGGATGTGATGCTGTCATGCAGTGTCTATTTTAGCAAATTAAAATATTAATTTTTCTAATTTACCAAGAGTGTCCGATTTGCACTAGTAACCCATGTAAGAAACTACATTTTCTCACTTCTTGTAAATAAACAGTAAAATAAACTCTATGGTGTTTTTTCTTGAACAAAAATAAGACGAGCAATTAAGTGAACTGGAAAATGGACCATGACCAGACTAAATTTAATGCGTCAAAACAAGCAGGCTGGTTGACGGTATTCACAAAAGCAAACGGCTTCACAGGGATTGCTGCTCGGGCATTATCGTTTGAAGATACATACTTATACAATCAACAACCAGAAAATAAGAAAAATATATGTTCTGTAATTACTTCAAGGATATTTTTGTATTTCAATTGTTTATCTTAAAACAGAGTGAACGATATATTGTCCATTTTGAAAGCATAATAAAACAGAAAATGGAATGTCATGTGCTGCCAAAAGGCCCCACTTCTAATAGCCATGTCAATAAATATTCATAAGATACATGATATTACAAAGTTTAGTGAGTAACATGATTTGTGTTCATCATATGACCTTGACCTAACCTACTGTAAATCTGGACATAATTGGACAAACTGGTAAAGGGAAGAAAAGGGTACACATTGTAGACATTGAGAATTATTATAATGTTTTTTAATTACACTCTTCGGAAACAAATTAACAGGAAATGTAACAAGTAAAACTGCTTTTCTTTTATTAATAGTCATCTCAGAGAACCTGTTGAGCCCAGTCATTGTGAAGCCTGAGGCTTCACCAGTTCATATCGTCCCACCTGCCCTTCCTGTAAAAGCTGACCAATCAGCTGTTCCTTCTGGACTCTGCGGCTAACAACAAGAAAGCGTAGTCGGCCCTGTCCGTACGACTTGCTGCGCAGCCCGTACCTTTGGGATATCTGGTGGATCTGCCGGCGCTCTTCATTGTTGAGCTCCGTAGAGAAGCGCAGTTCATCTTGACGGTTTGAACTCACATAATTCCGAATGATTTCCTCAATATCACGCTTAGTCAGATTACTTTGCCTGTCCATGCCAAGTCCTTCCCTGTTATACTGCTCTTTGACTTTGATGGGTTCAGCAATGCCCTCTCCTTCTCTACCCAAACCACCACCCGTCCAGCCCATCTTACGGAGTAGCTGGTTACCAATGTTGTCCTCCTTGATCTCCTGCCGCATGGATTCCTCGCCAGAATGAGCAATGATTTGATTTCGGGAAATTGCATCCACATTGCCCTCCTTCCTGAGGTTGGACTTCACCACAGCCTGTGTACATCGAAGTGTGGCAAGGGCCTCCTCTGCTGCAATATGTTTCACCGTCTTTTTAGGCCCAACGCCTGCAGCCACGTACTTCCCATCTAGGTAAACTTCACACTGCCAGCGATGGTCCGGCAGAACCGTGAATTTGTATTCAGCAAGCACTTTATTAAATTGAGCAGTGTCATTTATTATGCAAATAGCATTATCAGAGTTTTCAAGAATCACCAATTCACCCAGATGTGCTTTCTTGCTGCTTTGCTGGGTGTATCGACCACTGGGCTGGTCCAAAGTGTGGTTCCCTCCAGAAAAACACTGCTGCTGCTGCTGCTGCTGCTCTTGTTGGCGAGCAGTCTGGTTCATTCGTAACTTCCTCACCGCCTCCTCCGCCGCTGCGTGTTTTGAGCTCTTCTTGGTCCCTCTGGCTTGTGCCACCAGCTCACCCTGCAAGTACACACTACAGAGCCATAAATTGCTATTGTGAACCGGGTCAAATGTGTAATCAACTTTCATGCGGTTGAAGGCAGCCGAGTTGTTGAGTATACAGATGGCATCGTGTGCGTTCTCCATGATTACAAATTCTGTCCAGTGTTTGCTTTGGTCAGGCTCATACTGGCCCTTGGTACTTGGGGACGGCTTGTCCTCCGGGTTGCGAAGAGGTGGGGGGAGGGTAGGGTTTGGAGTGTTAACTTGGCACACCACCATGTCATTGACGCAAGTACGCTTGTACTGCCGTTGCAAGACACGGACTTCCACCGGCCTCATAAACAGCTTGACAGCCTGTTCTGATGCTCGGTCTCTGGCACCGTTTTTACTCCCAGAGTACCCGGTGGCAAGGTACACACACTGACACCTCAATTCACATGCATATCCATCAGTGGGTACTTTTCTGTTCTTAGGAAGGTCAGCGGGTGGAATATCTCTTAAATTGACATAGATGTACTCTGGGTTCGTCTTGCAGGCCTGAATGCTGCGGCTAAGTATGAAATTGTAATTTGGGCCATCGGGCCCACTCATGAACATAGGATTTCTGAGGGTGACGGCAACGGCTGATGACACTCTAGTAATAAGCCTCTGTTTTTCGTTAATTATTTCTGGAAGTATAGAAGTCGGCAGAGAGGGTGTAGGGAGAAGGCCAGCGCCGCCTCTGCTTGGACCGTCGTATACCCTGCTAAATGCCTTGCTGGAAGTCGGCCTATCCTGATGTCCAAATCCCAGTCCACACCCTCTGCTAACCCAGGCTCCAGACCGTCCAGCACCTCCGTATCCCTCAACTCGGACTGCCTGTGAGAATGCTTCAGAGTTTTTGGCATGATGAGCCTCATAACTAGCAGTGTATTCCTGCTGCACTTTGCACATGAAGTTCTGGGTACTGCTGCCATAGCCAAGCCCACTTCTGCCGCTCGCAGCCACTTCTTTGGTTCTGTTCTCAGGCCAAGAATCATAACCGTACCTCCCCATCTCAAGGCAGCCAGAGGAGGAAGAAGGGCCATTGTCATGGTTACCATTATATGGCTGATGATATGGTTCCTTCTGTCTTACTTCATTCATCTCACCCCTCCTGCGCTCCTTCTCATTCTCTTTTTCGTCAGTTTCTCCATTTCCACTGCCGCAACTCCCACCACTCACAAAGTGTACTGGCTGAAATCGAGGTCTGGAAGTGAATTTTGACACAGGCATCTTTCTCGTGGGCTCTTCACCTAGAATATGAAGTCATATATGATTAAAATATCCATTTACATGCAAATATGAAAATGTATACTGCTGTTTTGTTTACATACAGAATCAAATATTTTTTAAGTCCCCCTGTAGTCAACAATTTTATCCTTTAAAACTCATCTTTGATCACCAAAATGGCATATTTAAAAAAGAAATTCCCGTGACAAAAATGTCTTCATGCCTTAAAATAGCTTGAATGTAACTCTACACCATTGCTTCATTCAGTACATTTGAATACCACTCACTCGCCTCCACTCACTCATACAGGCTCGTCTACGAGTCGACGTATCAGAATGGTAATGCGTTTTATGTATCGCTCTCTACAAGGTCGGACACATAACGGTATTTAATATGATTAGCCTTTTGCTAATAATATATTGCTAATGTTACACAAACCATGTTCCCATTCACCATCTCAAAGTCAGACAACTAAAAATCAGCATCCTTAGAAACGCTTTGAACAAGAATGTCAGTGGAGAAAGGCATATAGTTCATCATAACATTGTAATATCATATACATAATTCACCCGCTATATTGCTAAATGTACCCGATTTTTCATATCAACAGAAAAATATACCGGGATTACCTGGCTTCTCTTGAGCCTCCCCTGCTACAGAGCAGTCATTGTTAATGACAGTGGCGGGCCGTGCATTTCACACCTAGGCCTTCAGTGATGTCCAACCTGAATTAATAACTTTTAATAGTGTAGCAGCGCACGCACATACTCTCTATAATTGTTGTGAATTCCTGTTTTTATTTTGCACCGGCAGTTATAGGGTTAATTGCGGTGAGTACGGGAAAGGCCGGGTAGAGAGAAATGAGCGAGTGAGTTCGGCTTTTGTGTTAGTGTACAATGGTTCTTGCGTTCCGTTTATAAATTCAGAAACGGATCTTCCTTTTTCTTATCCTTAAATGGTTACAATAGTATTAATGTTTGAAAAAAGAAGTTGCTTCGATCATAAATTTACAAGAAATATTAGGATGAAAATCATATTCACCACGGACAAAAACGGGGGCAAAAAATGCATTATACTCACCAAAACTACTGATTATTTTTTTTTACACAAATCCATCCTAATTTCTTTCCTCAAAAAGACTTAAATTACTTGGTTGTACAGGTTGTCTGTGCGTTTCTTCTACCTTTTCTATCGCCATCGAGGCTAATGTGCTGAAAGTCGAATCTGTCCCGTCGTTTTTCTGGCATAAGTTTTAATTCGCTTTAGTGCTGAGAGTGTCTGCTCGACAGAAGCAGTAAGTTAAACAGGGAAAACACCTCAAAACATGACGACGTTACAGCTGACACAAGCACTCACGCAGATTTTTGAACGATATCAATGAGATCAGCGGGACTTTTGCCTTTAAAATCAGTCCTGGCATTTACAGTCAGTTCTGTTCTTACCCCGGACAGATCGATAAAGTTCCGTGACTCTGCGTATTAAAAAGCTGAATAAGGGATTTTTTTCCGGTAGGTTTGAACCTGCTGGTGGTCGAGGAATGAAAGAAACATTCATTTGTGGGTTGAAAAACTATTAAATCTACAGGAATATATTTTAGTTTAGTTCGTTACAGATGTGGTTAGCTAGCTCTACCAGTAATAGTAGTACACGGTCTGACCATCCAATCAAAGGACGTGAGAATGCCGACGTCATTGTACGCATGCTAGATGGCCCCGGTGCAGTCAACTCGAAATCTGATTGGCTGATTAAATCTGACTGATTATCTGATTGGTTAAAGCAACAGTTTCATTGTCATTCATTTTAAGTTACAGGCGCCCGCACTGTCGATTCTGAAGGCAGATTTATTTGACCCTGGCAACACATGATGGCTGAAATATGATTGGATAAAAGCGCTAAAATAAATATACACTGGAAGCAGCGCAACCAAGAGAAAAGCTATTTAAGAGAATGGACTATTGGAAATAATTTAATACTCATTCATACAATAAAATATATTAAAGCGCAAGTCAGTGATTCTGATAGTGTTTAGGCCAGCAGAGAAGGCCTTGCTGGCCCTGACGGCCCACCACTGGTTAATGATATGCTAAAGCCAGCATGTTGACGTGATTGGTAGTTTGTGACGTAAGAAACACCATCGATTTCAAACCGCGATTTTGAGACTGAGAGTTTTAAGGAGAAAATATTCAGCAATGGTGTTGACATGAATTTGCACATGGTTTGTCCTAAATAGTTGTCAAAAAGTACCGACTTTGGTACTGAACTTTGGTTCTTCACTTACATAGATACACACGGGAGCATTTAAAAGCAGGTGTCTATCAGCGGATCCCTAATATATCCGCTGATATAAGATCCACTGATATAAGATCCACTGATTGATGCCGCTTTCAAACATCCCGTGTGTATCTGTGTAAGCTCTCGATGAAGAGCGTCAAAGATGTCATTGTTGATCATTGTAGCCAATCACAGACATATATGGTGAGCGCCTCAACACAATGGCCAATCAGAGGTGTTTAAGAATCCGTTCAACAGCGCTCAAAATGCTAGAGGGAAATGCTGGTATTATAGTCAACATTTTTCAAATTTCAGTACCGACTTCACTTTTGACAACTCTAGTCCTAAAACATATTAAAATCACCACAGACATATAAACAACATTAAAAACTTTTCACCACAGGGGGCCTTTAATTGATGCCAAGCACCCACAAAATAACTTTTCAAATGCAGATTAATTTAATCACAAAAATGTATGTTTGTATGTCAGATAGATAGATAGACAGACAGACAGATAGATTTCAAGCATTGACAGACTTACTTCCATCAGATGAACCTGGTCTCTTTTTTGATTCAGCATTCGGGACTAGTTCATATGAGGGCATTTCACCAACATCAATCCCTTCTGCCATCTCAAGCACCTTGAGCATTAGATGGGAGCCATATCTGCCCGCCAAAAAAAAAAAAGGACAGCCATAGTATTGGTTGGCATTACAAATGCATAACTTTACAATTAGTGTGGTATGTATAAATAAGACATACACACTTGTATGCAAAATTAAATATGGTATACAATTAACTTGCCCAATTACTTACACTAAGTATGCACTCAAACCCCTACGAAAAAAAAATGGTTAAACAGCCTAATTCTCATGATATATTCAATCCCCACCTGCATCCCAGGAAAACGTAGTTCACCCATACCATCGACAGGGCCAGTAAATTATCAAGAGCATTTCCCTCGTAATCTTTAACGTGTTTCACTATGAACTGACGTCTAGCGGACCACTGCTTGTCACTCTCGAACTCCTGACGGTATCCATCGATATTACAGGTCCGATTACGCGGACCAGCGGGTTTACGTGAAACACGCGGGCCCGTTGAATGGTGTCTGATCATCCCGGTATCTGACCAGTGTCTGACGACGATAGCGAGCAGCTAACCGGAAACAACGTAGTGCGCACAACATTGCATGCTGGGCAGGGTTGCCAGGTTCGCTTCAACCCGGGGAATACAAAAACAACCCGCGGAAACAGTGTTAAAGTAAGTAGCAACACTTGGCAACATTGATGCTGGGAACGTCACACTCTCACACTTAGGCCTACTATGTAGAACGGATTATGTAAGGTAGCTAATGCTTCTAACAATCACGCAATTACGTCTAAAGTACTTTTTCGGTTTGCGTAACGTAAACTTAACAAATCAATATGATCTGAGATCTGTACTTGCCCAGTTCATTTACTATGACATTTAACATGATACAGACCTCGCAACAGTCTGTACGGATTCACAACAACTTTAGCCATATTTCTCACAAAGTTTTTATATTTTAAATAGCACACATGTAACGTAAACTCTTTAATCTACAGCGTCGGTCAAGCATGCAATTTGCCATAAATTTGTTGTTCCCTTACGGTTAAGTCTCTTTGGATGAAACTAAAAACGACGCAGTAGCTTTTCATTCTCTCACACTATTCTTCAGTTTTGTCATGCTAATTATGCGCATTTATTGTGAACTACACGTCGATGTACATAGCATAACACTATGTGAGAAGCTTACCTTTGTCGTACAGCAGCTCTGTTTAGGTGCTCTTGAGTGTAACGTTTTAAAGCCGCTGCGCTTTGAGGCAATTTTAGACGCACAAATTAAACTGACAGTCACAGTGCTAAAGCTAATCCACTCAGGAAAAGAGAAACGCATTCATTTATACTGCTCAAGAGACACATTTGATAACATTTAAGATTTGATTTGAGGTCAGTAAATGTAAATAAATGTCTTCTTTCTTAACACTTCTAAAGGCCTAAATATAAGGGTAACACGTCACAATAAGGTCCAGTTATTGCAGTAACGATTAGCATTTGGCTAACTAATATTAATCAATGCTTTAGAAGTATTTTGGTTACATTTTATTTTAAGGTGTCCTTGTTACAGTGTAATTACATTTAAGTACTGAGTAATAATAATTTACAACATATATACAATAGGGTTAGGAATAGGGCTTGGTTTATGGTTAGTTAGTTGCATCTAATAATGCATAATCTACTGTTACAGTAAGTGCACATAACAAGCACACTCTATATTTATAGGCCTTTGCAAAAAAAAAAAACTGCTCCACTGCATCTACATAAAGTCATGATGAATGATGAGGAAAGACTTTGGGAGTGGTCCAAATAACAGTCAAATTTTTATTGATTTCCACCATCACCACAGCCAGACAAAAAAAAAAAAAAACATTCAACAACAAAAATTAAATTAAATATACAATTATAATAATAGAATTAAAGTAAATGTATTACTCCCTGATATTTTACATATCTAATTCACATACAAAAATAACCTAAAACACTATTAAACTGAGTTTCCATGATAAAGGCAGAAGAAATAAACATGACAATTAAAAAGCATCAGATCAATGCTTGATTTCAGTGTCATTGAGTTCATCTTAGTATACAAAGCCTTTAGGCCATGTTTAACATTATACAGATCATAACTTTTACACAGTTATTTGCAACAATTATAGTCTATGGCTCATGAAATGGGGTTGTTTGGTATCTGCATCTATTCCTGAGTGTCTCTCGTCCTGACTTGCTCCTCACCGTCACTGGCTGTAGAATCTATTCGAGGTTGATATCAGTCCTGGAATAAAAAAGACATTACTTTAACAATGGCTTTAAATATTTATATTATGACTATATATATATATATATGAAGATCATTTTTGTTAAAGGTTCAAAGTCTAATATTTAAAACGAAAAGCACATAGAAGTTCAACATTCTGTCTGAACATTAGAAACAAGTTTACGTTGATACTTACACTTCTGCTCAGTTTGAGAGTGCACAAGGATGCAGTAAGAAGACAAGAAAATTGTGGTCTTTAGTATGTTTCATAGCAGTGTCAGTTAAAAAAAGGGTGTAATGTTTATTATTTTAAATTTTGAAAAAGCTATGGTCACAAATACAGAACTATCCTTGGAAAACTGGGCTGTATATACACCACACACACACACACACACACACACACACACACACACACACACACACACACACACACACACACACACACACACACACACACACACACACACACACACACACACACACACATAGGATCCTCATTTCAGATATCGAAGAACAGAAATCTCACCTGCTGGTTTGGGTGACATTAGAACCAGGGGGAGTTCAACGGTAATATCACTGTGAACAGAAGATAAACATGACTTGACATTAGTCTCACTGTTCACAAAGCTAAAACACAACACATCATGTACAGTACTACTGAATTTATTTTCACTGTTGTTTAATGACAATGTAACTAAGCAGACTGTTCCTTGTCAAGTAGTTGTGTTTGGGCATCATCAATGGAAATATATAATGGCAGAACAAAAGTCATCAGAGAAAGAAGAAAGTAAAAGACTCTTCACTATGACTCCACTGAGAGTCCAATGACATTGAGTTGAAAGAAAATATGAAGATCTAAACCTTAATGTGAGGCTTCCCAAGAGACCACCTCCCATCATGAGGGTAACCTTTATTTTGTAGGAGACAATGACGCCTTGGATTTGCTTATCCATGTCGGGTTGCAGACTGCAGAGAGAGAGAGAGAGGTGCAGATGTGTCACCTTGTTTTTCTGTCATTTAAAAAAAGTGTTGTTTTTTGTAATGTATAAAAATACAGAGCTGTTATTTGGACTATGAACATGAAAATCTGTCTAATGCTTTTGTAATGAAGATTAACTGACATTGTTGAAGAAGCCAAGTTGGTATCTTCATCTTTCAGTTTGCCATCCAGTGCGAGGCCACGTTTCTCTCTGTTATTGGCCAGCAGAGGAATGACACTATATTCCTTCTCAAAGGTGGAGTTTGCATTAATTTGGTCCCTGTAACAAAATATCTCAGAAAGTTCAGATCTCAAAAACAAGTAAAAACAAACTTATAGAAGTTTTTTTTAATACAACGTATAAAAGATCTATAACACTAAAATATTTTGAAGATACTCGGACAAATGCGATGTGGAGGTCTTTGCACTCACCCAAATTCTTCATTCAGGACACATTTGTGGTATTTGTCGGCTGAGTAAAGCACTACATCTGTAATTTGGTAAACTGAAACACACAATGAGCTAAAGTTTATTTTGGATCATTGTGGGCAACACTTACACTTCTACTTAAAGACAATAACAAATCATTCTTAAGTAGCTTAAATGGATGAAGACAGGCTGTTTTGTTTATTGATATGAATTATAAAAATACTTACTACTGATCTTGACTTTCTTCACTACTTTACTGGTCTCATTGTTCACTTTGACTTTGATAGGAATGGGATCGCCGTGATAGTAGAGCTGAATGGATGAGAAAACAGCAGTGAATAAAGAAGAGACACAAAACTGCATATGATGGAATATATATATATATATATATATATATATATATATATTATTCTTAAATTATCTACAACAGGCATTTAAAAACACTGTACCTCCTTCTCCATGGAGGCTTCCAAGTGAATTGGTTTGTCTGCTGTGATAAACTGTTTGTTGAGATCGGCCTTGGGTCCGGCTGTTATCTCATTTGGTGCATATTGGATTTTGCGGATGATCAAACGGCAAGTGTCCCTATATTGGTAGAGATACCAGAATCAGAGTGAAAATGTATTCATTTCTTTTGATAGTATCTTTATGTTAAAATAGAGCAGTACATACTTCTTTTCAATTTTCTCATCTATGCTGTCTGCTTCATTTGCAATATAGGCTTTGACTTCATAGTCAACCCCGCAAGGCTGCAAAAGTAAACATATTACATATTAGAGAGACATAGACATCTGTGATTGCATTTGTGTGTGTTCTTCATGTATTTCTGCAATTGTACCTTCCCGGCATCCTCTGGTGCTGGCTGAAGGGACACTGAGCATGGAAGACGTACTGGAATCTGAGACAGAACAGGAGAGACACAAATGAAGGACGTCCTTGATTGTTTTCTCAATGCTTAAGCAGATGCATAAGTGTGGATTTACATCAAAAGTGAAGGGATGTCCTTGATCTCCAGCTTTCTTCAAAAGCGCTTCCTGCATTGGTGTATTTGGGGGCTTGGTTCCCTCAAAGGGATACATCTGTATGCGCTTTATCCAGATGTCTTTCCTAAAGGAAACTCCAATCACATCCAGATCATCTTTTCCATAGCGGAAGGCACATGCAATCTGTACCCACACTGAAAAAAATAAAATGTAATGTTTAGATGAAGTGTCTAAATGAACTAAGTTACCGACAAACTTTTCATGATATTATATTAAATCATACCTTTCCTTCCATTGAGATCTGAAGGATCAATCTTGAGCACCCCATCTGAGAGGGAAATTACAGGTTGATTGAAATATTGCACATGAATAGAAAGGTGGTGTACTATATAAATATACATACATTTATACATTTAATCAAAAAAGAGACAACATCATAATCTTGAGGAATAATACAATTTTCAAAGTAGAACGTACCAATTGAATCAACACTTTCCACATGGTCCACAAAGTCTCTTTTCCCCAAATAAAGGCATAACTGTAATAAATAATGACTGAAATGATTATCGTGTGCTTGTGTTTTAAAAAGATGTTGAGAGCATGTACATGTGGAGCAGATGACAAGTAATGTGAGTTGTAAACGGTATAAATGGAACCTTACCGAACCATTTCCACTAGTCTTCTTGAAAACCCTGTAGAAAAAACATACAGTCTTAATATTATAATCATTGTTATAAGCTCAATTTACTCTTTTAAAGGGGATGTGTGTAGTTTTTAATGTAAAACAAAACATCGCTTTTTGCTGAGACACAGCAACATCTCCATTACAGTATTTCTTAACAAATGCAGCTCAAGTTTTGGGGGCGGGGCTATATATTAGTCTGACCAATAGCAGATAGGGAAGTGTTTGGGAAACATGTTTGAAAACATTTTTTGCAATTTTGTCTATTGTCTGATTTTAGTGTTGGCACAGAAATGACATATTTCACCTTTAAATGCATATAATAAGAGTGGTAATTATCAACAGTGGTGCAATGGTTTGAAAAGTAGTATTCAATCTAAAATCCACCTAAAATCAAGGCAATTCTTTTGTTCATGTGTTACTATCAAACCAGCCTGTGCTGCGATTAACCAGCACTGTCCCGCTGTCATGTCCTGTTACAGTCTGAAGGCTACAGCTCTACCACCTCTGCTGCTTAGACTAAATTAGTGGCAAGTTGTTTCATTTGAGTTTTGTATGAAACAAAATTTCTCCCAACTGGTAATAACATTTTACGCAATCACCAGGACATATTTACTGTTTATCGCAGATAATATCCAGTTATTAGATAGAAGCTCGTTTCACATGGAACAGGATGCCTTTGAGGCAGAACTTGATTTCAGCAAGTGCAACATGTTCCTGGATCAACATCTTTGTTAATCTTGGAACAACATTCCAATCAACCAATCAGATTTGAGGGACAAGTTTACAGTTTGTGTCAAGTTTAGGCTTACAACTAGGGTTAGGTGCTTCTACATCAGTGTTATTCACCTATCATTTCCCTCTGATTTTAGGGATAATTTATGGGTAGGATTAGGTTTAGGGGTATAGGGGTATGGTTATGATTACATTTTTGGACAGGAATATTGTTCCAGGATCAGCTAAATATGTTGAACCAGGGACATGTCTAACTCGGCCAAATGAGGACGTGCTGCTTTGAGTCTATACTGAATTAGTTAATGTTAAATGTACAACTTGTAACGACTGGAAATAAGGTGTGGCCCCTTTAAGAGCTGTGCGCTCCCTGTTGAACTGTCGGCAGTTTTGTATTGTATGTGCCTTGGGCCTCGAACACCCCTTTTACTGTCTATGCGAACACCCCATCTATGCGGGTAATTTCTGTTTGATGCTAATTTTTTATCTTATTTTGTTTATTAAGTAACGATGTGGACGGTAGAACGTGTGACAGACAGTTAGGCTACACGAGTTCGATTTGGGAATAAAGTGCGAGTTGTGAGATGCCAATCGCCTCCGTGTGTCTGTCTGGCCTCTGCAAGCAATAACTTCAGTTGTGAGCTATCCCTAATCTTCCTGAAGCAATGCGTTACAAACTGTACTTCAGTTTCATTGCGGGGACACCACCTTCACCTGCCATCATGTCTATCGGCTCGCTTTCGGGTTAAACTTTCCGCGACTGCGCAACTGGGTTATAGGTTGCCAGGTTGAGGTGACAAACGGGTTTGAAATTGTAAATGGTCTGTGGATTGGGTGAATATAATGCATTTAATACAATCTGGCAACTGGTCAACAACATATTGGTCCGATTATTCATAAAGGAGTTTGGGCCATGCAAGGGGAAATAACAAACCGGGAGGGGTCCGGGAGATAGGGCTAAAAACGGGAGAAACCCGGGAAAAACGGGAGTGTTGACAGGTATGCTGTAGGCTTTGCTAAGCTTTGCACTGTTACTTTTAAACTCTTGTGGTAATCCTGTCAATCCATTCTAAAAGGGATTTCTTATAATCTGGTAATCCACTAGGATTGAAGACCAAAAAGACTTCTACAGATTTAATACTGAACAGAGTGTAGGAGTATTACACGAAGGCTGCTTAAGAGGGGTCATGAATATTAATAAAATATTGAATAGTCTGTAGGATATGGCGCAATTATGATCTTAAATGCCTTTAATTTGCCTGTTTGATGTTTTAAATGTTTTTATGCCTCATTTAAGTATTTGTAAAATGTTGGGATAAATTATTATGCACAAACTTACTTTGTCATGGTTATGGAAAGTCAGTTGAAGCTTTCTGAAATGAGAAGAGAAGTGGTTATAGTGTGTAAAATGTGCCAGCAGAGGGCAGTCGTTTGATTTAGCAACATTTAAAAGAACCAACATCCTGCCCTGAATTGAGTACAGTGTTTGGAAAACCATTCATGTTTATATATTGTCCTGCTGAGATTTCAATCCACTAGGGCTAATCAGGGAAGAGGAGATTAGCATAACGATAGACTGCTTCATAATCCTCCACAGAAGCCGCACTCAGGATTAGCTCTTATCTGTTTATAATTTGCCTCTGTGTATGAGGCCAACTATTTCAAACCTGGGAAGAGCTAGCAAAACATCTGTGATATATTTTTAAGGAATTGCAATGAACATTAAATTACTATTTTAAATGTGGGACTGTTGGGCCTTTGGAAATATTTCAATATAAATATATTACATAATATTTACATATATAAAAACCTAAGCAGGAGCAGTTCAGTAAATTAGAGGAATTAATCACAATTTATGTGTAAATTAGTACAAATAAATCACATGAAATATAAGACACTTATTTGCCCACCAAAACTCAGCTGTCATGCTCTTGTTTAAAGTGTGTGTATCTTCTGTTAAATATATTTGTTTTGTGTGGTTCCAAAGAAATATAAAATGAATATTAACCTTTTTGTTGTAGCTACATTCTTGAGAAATTAAACACAATGAACACAATAATCACAATTTTATATCAAGATGCAAATTCATATGTTGACTCTTATCGTTCTCATGATCAATCTGGGATATTCTTGATATAGATTACCTTATTTTGTCAGGTTAAGGTTATGCTAGTTAGCATCAGGATTAGGTTCAGGAATAAACTTCTGACCATAAAAACAACCGATACTCCTCAGGTCTCTATTGTATTTATTATGACACATTTCAATCTCCCTAAAGCAAGAATTAGACAAAAAGTGCACAGACACAGCAGGCGCAAATCTCAGAGGGTGCTCAACCACAAAAAGAAAAAGAAAAACAATCACAAAAAGGTAAAAATCGGCACACCACAGTTACATTTACAGAAAATGTATTTATTGCATGTTCTCACCAAAAGTGACATTTTGAGCCATGTGGCTCTTCATCAATCTAGTGTGTAAATTTTTTCCTTTTTGTGAATCTTCCTAAAGAAGACATGAATGCTATTGTTCACACTGAACAATCTCATATAAATTGAATCCAAATCAGCTGTCTCATGCTCTGTCACTTTCACCTCAAAGTCTATGTGCGTTTTTTCAGTGTAATGACAGTCCAGATCTTCTTACCTGTGTCCAAGTTCCTGGAGGATGTCCTCTGCTTTGCTCTTGATTGTTGCACGTGAGCACCGTTCTGTAGCTGTTGTTGTTGGTTTGCTAGTGTGTTTCCCAGTTAGTCTTGTCCGCCTTTATAGTGCAAACTCTCCTCCCTCATTTTGGTCCCAATCCTCTTAGTTCATTAGTCCTCATCTTTTTCTGGCTACAATGTGTATAAAAATAAACACAGAATTGGACTTACGGATTAGCAATTGAGAAGTACATAGTATGAATGAGAGTGTCAGCCTCGGGGGCATTTGGTTGGACGACAGAATTGTAATAATATGGTTACATCTCTCATCAAAGCTCCACCTCTAACATAGCATGTGTCCATTTAGGGCATGTACTCACCGTGGCCTCAGTTTCCAAGTCATGAGGCCAGAATAACAATAACAACTGCTTCTAAAGCTTCACAACACAGTACTTTCATCTTTAGATGATGAGCATGAACAGGCATCAAAGTACAATCAGCTTTAAAAGTTCTGCTTGCATTGCCAGTGTGTCATAAACATTCAAATGGTTCTCTTGGCATTGGTCTTCTAGGGTTTAGAGAGAATGAGGAGGGTGTGAGACTATTTTAGAAAAGCAGTTAAGGGACATTGTCATTGTACCCTCAGGGGGATTTGTGGCTGCAGCATATACAAACAGCTGATTGGCTGTTACTACAGTATTTGCGCCAACCAATACACGACGACACTCATCATGTCTTTGAGATAATTATCAGAAATTGACAGTGAGAAACTAATATCAAAAATAAATAAATTCATTCACACTATTACAGTATATGTAAAAAAAAAAAAAAAAAAAAAAAAATTATGATACTGCATCCATGCCACTAGGTGACGCTATTAGTTGTTTTATATGGTGTGTAGCATTCCTAAAACACAAATATCTGTCATTATCTGTCACAACTTTCCCCCTAACAAAAACGTTTTATGCAATTATAACAAGGTATTATTGTTTTGTAATTAAAAGGTATTGAACAGAAACACAATTTTGAACATACACTCACCGGCCACTTTATTAGGTACACCTGTCCAACTGCTCGTTAACACTTAATTTCTAAGCAGCCAATCACATGGCGGCAACTCAGTGCATTTAGGCATGTAGACATGGTCAAGACAATCTCCTGCAGTTCAAACCGAGCATCAGTATGGGGAAGAAAGTTGATTTGAGTGACTTTGAACATGGCATGATTGTTGGTGCCAGAAGGGCTGGTCTGAGTATTTCAGAAACTGCTAATCTACTGGGATTTTCACGCACAACCATCTCTAGGGTTTACAGAGAATGGTCCGAAAAAGAAAAAACATCCAGTGAGCGGCAGTTCTGTGGGCGGAAATGCCTTGTTGACGCCAGAGGTCAGAGGAGAATGGCCAGACTGGTTCGAGCTGATAGAAGGGCAACAGTGACTGAAATAACCACTCGTTACAACCGAGGTATGCAGCAAAGCATTTGTGAAGCCACAACACGCACAACCTTGAGGCGGATGGGCTACAACAGCAGAAGACTCCACCGGGTACCACTCATCTCCACTACAAATAGGAAAAAGAGGCTACAATTTGCAAGAGCTCACCAAAATTGAACAGTTGAAGACTGGAAAAATGTTGCCTGGTCTGATGAGTCTCGATTTCTGTTGAGACATTCAGATGTTAGAGTCAGAATTTGGCGTAAACAGAATGAGAACATGGAACCATCATGCCTTGTTACCACTGTGCAGGCTGGTGGTGGTGGTGTAATGGTGTGGGGGATGTTTTCCTGGCACACTTTAGGCCCCTTAGTGCCAATTGGGCATCGTTTAAATGCCACGGCCTACCTGAGCATTGTTTCTGACCATATCCATCCCTTTATGGCCACCATGTACCCATCCTCTGATGGCTACTTCCACCATGTCACAAAGCTCTAATCATTTCAAATTGGTTTCTTGAACATGACAATGAGTTCACTGTACTAAAATGGCCTCCACAGTCACCAGATCTCAACCCAATAGAGCATCTTTGGGATGTGGTGGAACGGGAGATTCGCATCATGGATGTGCAGCCGACAAATCTGCGGCAACTGTGTGATGCCATCATGTCAATATGGACCAAACTCCCTGAGGAATGCTTCCAGCACCTTGTTGAATCTATGCCACGAAGAATTGAGGCAGTTCTGAAGGCAAAAGGGGGTCCAACCCGTTACTAGCATGGGGTACCTAATAAAGTGGCCGGTGAGTGTATTGTTATTAATGGAAGTAGTGACCGATGTAATCCATTTTCTGAGGATGAAAGAGAGAGGGGATCAGGCTAGGACCCGGTTCTTACCACAACTCACACCTGCTGTAACAGATGGTCTAAGGTTATAGGACTTGTGATCTCTGTTCGGGTGGCGTGTCAAGGTGTTTTTTTTATTACTATTATGCTCTGTTAACTCTGTCACCGACTAGTTAATCATGTGAAATCTATGATTACTTAATTTAGGTATATTCAACACATTTGTCAGCTGAATGGACAATAGTAATCATAAAACAAAAGAATAATATAGCTGTAAATAAACATGCTGACTTTGATATGTTCAACAGGGCATCAGTTAGATGTGATCTCCTTAAACACAGCTGCTCATGTCTCTAACCCTGCTGGCCTGAACAGGCAGATATTGACTGAGAGGTCACAAGCACCAAGCACTTCCCTGCCATTCACTACCACACTTTCCAAAACATGTGTGGACCTCCACATCAGCATGATCAAATTAGGTTCTAAAACACTTCAAGTATAAGCTGTTTTTAAGAGTTAGACTTACTGACTATACACTAAACAGATATATAGGCCTACACTATATTGCCAAAGGTTTTGGGACATCTGCCTTTACATGCACATGAACTTTAATGACATCCCATTCTTAATCCGTAGCCAATTTGGAGTTGGCCCACCCTTTGCAGCTATAACAGCTTCAACTCTTCTAAGAAGGCTTTCCACAAGGTTTAGGAGTGTGTTTATGGGAATTTTTTACCATTCTTATAGAAGTGCATTTGTGAGGTCAGGCACTGATGTTGGACGAGAAGGCCTGGCTCGCAGTCTCCGGTCTAATTTATCCCAAAGGTGTTCTATTGGGTTGAGGTCAGAACTCTGTGCAGGCTAGTCAGTCCTTCCAGAAAAACGTGGATTTTTTTGTGATTGTTGTGGGCAAAAATCCTTGATTATGCGGCCCGTTTTCTTTAAAAAATGCGATGAAATATGCGGGATATTTATGCAATTTTTGCGGGAACTTGCAAAAACTGCAGTTTGATGAAAAAGAGAGAAAAAAAGTGATTCCCCAACACCCTGTTCTTACTAGGCTACATCCCTTAATGTAAAGAGTCATTTCTTATTACTCGATAAGCAAGTATACTACATAACAGAAAGTGCTGGGAATATTTAACTATTTAAGAATTTTTTGCAACGAAAATGCGAGGATTATGAAATCATGCAAATCCTGCATATTTTGCACGGAAATCTGCAATTTATGCGGTGAAAGTGCGGCGTATTTGAAAAAATGCGGTCCCCGCATAAATATGCGGACTTTGGCTGATTATGCACTAAATCATGCGATCGCATAATCACGTTTTTCTGGAGGGACTTAGTCAAGTTCCTCCACACCAAACTTGCTCATCCATGTCTTTATGGACCTTGCCCTGTGCACTGGTGCGCAGTCATGTTAGAAAAGGAAGGGGCCATCCCCAAACTGTTTCCACAAAGTTGGGAGTATGAAATTGTCCAAAATGTCTTGGTATGCTGAAGCATAAAGAGTTCATTTCACTGACAACCCCACAACCAAAAACAACCCCACACCATAATCCCCCCTCCACCAAACTTTACACATGGCACAATGCAGTCAGGCAAGTACCGTTCTCCTGGCAAACGCCAAACCCAGATTCACCCATCGTGAGGAAATTTCATGAAAGGACTTATTGCACAGGTGGCAACCTATCAAGTTACCACGCTTGAAATCACTGAGCTCCTGAGAGCGACCCATTCTTTCACAAATGTTTGTAGAAGCAGTCTGCATGCCTATGTGCTTGATTTTATACAACTGTGGCCATAGAAGTGATTGGAACGCCTGAATTCAAAGATTTGAAGGGGTGTCCCAATACCTTTTGGCAATATAGTGTATATTTTTTAAATGTTTTAAAATTCATGATGTTACCTTTAAAACCATTTCATTAAGAATTTACATTTAGGAAAAGGGCACATAAGTTACTTTTTAATTGTTGTAAAAAAACAAACATTTAATGATAATTGTTTACTGCGACTTTCTTATGTTTTTGGTACAAACCAATTTATATTCAAAACGGGTGGTCTAGGTGACAACACATGACTTAGCTATCTCCTTTTACTAAGATATACTTTTACTAAGGTCCACATCTCAACCAAATTCAGTTTTCGACTAAGAACTAAACATCTTGGTTTCATTTCCTGTAGTCACAAACGCTCACTCCCCATATGACTAATTTAAATGACTTATCTGGAGAGTACAGACATGCAATCTGTTATTTAAAACTCAATAAGAAATCATGTTTGATTTGAGAAAATTTAATTACCCCCCCCCCCCCCCCCCCCAGTAAAACAGAACAAATTGGTTTATCTTTAAAGGACCGCTTGTTAATGCGCATGTGCTTGGCTTGTACACATAATCCTCTTTCCTAATGTCTTAGACCTTTTCTTATCTCCTCACGGTGTAAGAACACTGTTTTGGATACCCGAACACCAGAAAATTGTCTCTTGTGTTTATCTCAGAATTCAAATATTTATTTTAATACTCACTACTCACTTACTCAAATAGAAACTAGATTACTAGACCATACTGTATATTGTACTACTATTTTCATGAGGGTTTTCAAATTAAACAAGCAATTTAATTAGCCATAAATTTCTATTTCAACACCAGGGATCTATCTTTAGAGAGAGCAAATCCTCTTCCATCACCTGTTTGTTTCTCATAATACTTTGGAATAAGTAGGTAATGCTCTTTGCTAGTCTGATCTTTGCTGGTCTTAATGGCTCACTCTGAATTAGCGGCCAATGCAGTCAAAAATTAATGTGATTAAAATTAATCTCGAGCTCTGCTTGTACTAGGATTGGAGAGTTTTAGCATGCGGTTTAGGTCATGATCCATCTAAATAGTGTACGTTTGCCAAGTAAAAACTCTGGAAACAGTTATTTTTCAACAGCGCATGTTCGGTGCTAACAAAAGCCAATTTTCCCTCAGGTGGAATAGAAGCAACACATTCAGTAACTGTATGAAATGCTGGCCACTAAGAGCATGTCTTATGGCTTAGCCTGGGTTAGAGATGGACTGTAATCCATTGTGTGTTTTGTAAACATGACCCGGGGGTAATTGGATCTTCAGAAAAGAACAGAAAAACTGTCAGGTCCCACTATGTGACCCTCAGTTATCCATGATCACATATCTAATATATGTTGTATCACAGACAGATATTAATACCAGGTGTACACTAAAAACATTAATCTTTTTATTTAAAATATAAAAAAATTCTTCAAAGAAGATCAAATTGCTTGAGAATCAACATTGCATAAGATATTAAGAGAATGTATCTTTAATACAAGCATATTTAGTCTTACAGCATTGGCAGATTTCTTCACTTGTTTTAAGTGAAGATGATTGTATGAACAAGTAAAAAAAGTGAAAAGATCTGCGGGTGCAGCAAGACAAACTATACTTTTTGTATGTAGTCAGTGAAAACAAGTCCTGAAATTTTATGTAAAGTAAGTTCATTTAGCTTTATGGGTTTTTAGATATTTTATCAAGAAAAGTAAATAAGATAAATGTACTCATTAAGAAGATTTTTTTTTGCAGAGTGAATGGGGCCTAAGCACACTGACATTAAGGGAATGCAACATATTCACAGTGAAGTCAACAAGAATTCAAAATGACAAATGTTTACTTTCTTAATGCACATTCCACAGTTGTCTTATTGTGAACAGTTCACCAGTGCATGTTATTCCAAAAGGAAAAAGTTTGTTTTTGTAATCTTGTAAATTGCTCATCCTCTGAAGTGACGCTTTTTTTCCTGCTGACATCACGTAGGCTATTTGATAATGTTATCCTCCCTGAAAAAATAGCCATTTAGGCAATGTTTTACAAACTCACATTCAATTGCTCCATTCTTTTCACCATCTATCCATTTGCAATTAATACAATAATTATATTCTGAAAGTATACAGTTTGCGAACAGCCTTTAAATGCAAAATTTTAATGCATATCAGAAACATAAATCTACAACAGAGCAAAGATGGGAAAGTGTGCAACTTGATTTAAATATTTATGGGGATAAAAATAGAGATTATTTACATTCCATTATCATTTGTCTTCATTAGTGCTTCACAACAGAGGTACTGTTGGCACTCTAAATGCTGGTACCTCTGAATACTCCTACATGTTCAAAAACCTGTACCCTCATATGACCTTGTGATCTATTTCCAAAACACTGAACAGTCAACATACGGATAAAGGGTGCGGTAGAAACTTCTTGGGACCGTTTTACTTCCTTCATTAATAGTGGAAAAACAATGACTTTTTATAGCCCACTCACAACATACAGAGATTTGGGGGTGGAGTTCTCTATTTGTGTGTGGTGGAGAGGTTTGCAGACTGTTTTTGCTGAGTAATGAGGGATGGTGTTAGTCAGGCATCTGGAAACAGAAAGAGCGAAGAAAAAGAGGGCAGGAGCAGGAGAAGAACAAAACAAGAGACGCAGAGAAAGGGGGATGATCGTATCCATATGGTGGAGCTTGTGTTCTTCACTTCCTGGACAGAGAGAGGGAGACGAAGAGAGAGGCTCGAGGAAGAGAGAGAGCTGGGAAGCCAACCAGGAGTGAGAGAAAAACAACTGTAAGAGTAGCACAGTAACCTAGATGATCTGAAGCTGTGAGCATATGACCGGGAGAGAACTGTAGAGACCGATTCAAAGCATGTGACCATGATTTAGTTACAATGTTTTTGTGAATGGGAAGGGATGGCTTATTCTGAAGTTCACCGGGAAGGATAGAAAGACAGAACGAGAGAGACTGAAAGTTCCTAAAGTGCTGTGCTCAGGTTCATGCACCACCAATGATGTGTGGTCACTTAGAGGAATTCAGGTTAGTGTTTTCATTTTTTTCTGCTCTTTCTTCCTCCTCTGCCATCTGGAGCTGTGAAGCACTTCCGTCCATTTGCTGGGGGTCCATACATTCCGATTTTACGTCTGCGTGACGGCCCTCGTGGTTTTCCCTTCACAATCATCTTTGCGTATGGTGCAGGTCTGGTAAAGCTTGTTGGCCAACCTCTGGCTGTAGTTAACTATTCTTTACTGGAGTTTGCAGACATCAGCTGAAGTTCTCAGAGGGGTGTTGCCTTGCCTTTATGAGGCGAAACCAACCGAGTGCAAAAGTATTTGAATTTGTGGTGGTACTACTTCACTGCCTTTTCATGTCTGCACGATCTGGAGCTGGTGCTTTTTCTTTACTCTTGGTTCCTCTTCTTGGATGCGTTTACACAGAGGATGTTCGCTGCCAGACAATAGGGTGCTTTTGTCAGGGGGTGAGCAGCATGTGTATGGGCGCTCTGTCATGAGCTCTCACAAGTGGAGTCAGAACAACTCACGAGAGGAGGAGGCCGGTCCTGGATATGCCCTTTGGCCAAATACGCATCCTGCCTTTGAAATGCACATGCTCATAGGAGGGAAAACTTATTAGACAGTGTAAACAAGAACGTTTTTTGAGGCTGTAATGCTGCTCAATCTGACTTTGCATGCTCAGCTTCTGAAGAAGAGGGGATGACAGTGTGGACCTCCGGTTTTAGCATCACTGGAGATCAACAGCAACAGCATGAGATCTTTCACCTAACTTGTATTCAACAGGTCAGATTCAAACCTGTTTTTTGAAAATTAGACTGTAGGACACTCTGCTAGAACACTCTTTTGAAAGCACCATGACAGCAGCGACTTGGTACCATCGGGACATCAGCCGTGTGCAAGCCGAAGAGCTGCTGGCCCGTGCTGGGAGAGATGGCAGCTTCTTGGTGAGGGACAGCGAATCTGTGCCTGGAGCCTATGCCTTGTGTCTGCTGTAAGTACAACACCTTAATGCTGGAATACACTACACGACTTTTGCCTAGATTTGCTGTCTGATGAGTCGACACTGGTTGCCAAAAGTCAGAGTCAGTCTGCAGATTTCAGGTTGAGAGAAAATCACGTAGTGATTGGCACAGACTTCATTTTTATAAGCTTCAGACTATGATTCAATCCAGTCAGAGGATATCAGACATGGTTGATATTTTGAGCTGATTTTAGAACACATTGTTTTTATTTGTCACGCATTTCCTAGCAATTGGATGAATTTACCCAGAATGAGTTTGGCACCACACCCAGCTGTCTATCTGCAGCACTTCCGGGTGATGCACACTGACAATTTCATATAAATCGCAATAAGTTACCAGGTATTGTCAAGAAGTCAATGAGCTATTGTAGTCCTTTTTATAGTCTGTGCTTGTGAGATGGATTTTTACAGCCATGTGTCTGCCTTCCCCATCAGGTTTTAGCAGAATTTTGGCAAGACCTTTCAGATTGTTTAGTGCTGTCTATCTCAATGCATATGAGCTCCAGGTGATACAACTCTACAGCAGCCCTTAGGCCCCACTTAGGCCCCATCCACACTACTGCGTTTTAGTTTAGAAACGGAGAATTAAAACGAATACGATCTCCGTCCACACCAGCGTTTTAGCTGCGTATTAGAATTGATCTCCGTCCACATTAAAACGACTGAAAACGCGGATCACGTGACCATTCACCAACACTGGGCATGCGCGTGCTGGTGTAAACACAACTTCATTGATAAAATTATCCCACCATGCTCTGGGTTAACCCCAAACCGACGCTCCATGTACGGTCAACGCCGCCGCTGCACACGGGAATTGTCACAGATCGCTCGAATAATAGCTTGACTCCGGCGCATGTAGGCAGTTATAGCGTTGTAAAATGCAGAATTTACTTGTACAACAGTTGCTAGCAAAGATATACGCCATGACTGATGACACCCAATCATAGAGCCGAGCGTGAGCCTCTACTACGTCATCGTTTCTAAAGTTCTCCGTTTTGACCCGTCTACACTAAAACGCCCTCCGGAGATTCAAAACGAAAAACGGATCGGCAGCGTTTCTAAACTTCTCCGTTTTGGGTCTCCGTTTTTTCCGTTTTAGTGTGGACGGGAGGTGCAAACGTAGCAAAAGGTCTCCGTTTTTAAACGAAAACGCAGTAGTGTGGACGGGGCCTTAGTCAGCTTTGTTCAGGCCTCAGTTTCCCCTGTTTTCCTCCTGTCTCTGGCCCCTGTAGGAGGGAATAGGCTCCAGTGACCGCACTGCTCTCTCTCTACTGCAGCCCACAGCCAGACACATTCCTGAAGGCTGAGCCCTACAGCTTCAACTACTCTCCCTACTTTCTTGCTTTCATTCTCTCTCATTTATTCTCTTTTTTGCTCATTGTCTGACTCTGGTTCATTCTTTCCCTTGCTCTCTACCTCATCTCTTCTCTCTGAAACAGTTCACATGCAAATCATCTAATCACACAGTCGCAGCCCACTTCCTCTCAGTGCTTTCTTCTCTTGTTTTACATTACCTGGAAACAATGAGGTTTCTAATTGTGTCTTCATTGGGCTTAGTTGAATATGTGTTCCAGGTTCTGTGGCCAAATGGTTTTGTGAATGAGCACAAATTGTGGTTTATCTAACCTCTGATGGGCACAGAAAAATTATCTCTTGTATGATTTTACATACTGATGACCTCAGTTACCACATTAACAGGTGGAACTTTATTTTACTGTGTCATTGTCATTGAAAATGTTGATTTAAAGCTGATGAACTTTATATATGGTGATATAGAACAGTTTACATATTTCTTTGATTAGATGTTTCTGAGACAGTTTTACTGAAGATGAGAGCACCTCAAAATGAAAATATCCTGATAATTTACTCACCCCAATGCCATCCAAGATGTTCGTGTCTTTCTTTCTTCAGTGGAAAAGAAATTAAGTTTTTTGAGGAAAACATTTCAGGATTTTTCTCCACACAATGGACTTCAATTGCAACCAACTTTTTTGAAGTCCAAATTAATGCAGTTTCAAAGGGCTATGAAGTGCTTCAAACGGCTCTGCACGTTCCCATCTGAGGAATAGGGTCTTATCTAGCGAAACGATCCGTCATTTTCTGTAAAAAACTAAAAAACATTTATATACTTTTTAACCACAATTGTTCGTCGTGCTGGTCTGCGACGCGCCAGGGATTACGTCATCACGTTCGAAACATCACGATTTAATTTTTTTTTTTATAATAAATTAAAACAAAGATGTCAGACGATTTTGAAGTTGGAGGAGAAAACGGGAGAAAATTAGATGGAATTTTTCGCCCTTCCCTGCCTTTTTGAACCGGAGTACACAGACAAATAACTTAATGCCGCGTTCCAGGCAACCTGTAACCCGTGTTTTTCCAACTCGTAACTGGGAGTACATCGTTCCAGGCAACCTGTAACCCGTGTTTTTCCAACCTTATACCCGTGAAAGTGCACTGGAACGGCAGTCAAACCCGTGACTTCCCACCCGTGAATTCGTACTAGATCGATGTACTCCCAGTTACGAGTTGAAAAAACACGGGTTACAGGTTGCCTGGAACGCGGCATTAGATAGATGACGTGACGCGTGACGTTTCCAACGTAATCCCTGGCGCGTCGCAGACCTGCTCTAGTCGAACAATTGTGGTTAAAAAGTATATAAATGTTTATTTTTTTTAGAAAATGACCGATCGTGTCGCTAGATAAGACCCTATTCCTCAGCTGGGAACGTGCAGAGCCGTTTGAAGCACTTCATAGCCCTTTGAAACTGCATTGATTTGGACTTCAAAACGTTGGTTGCAATTGAAGTCCATTGTGTGGAGAAAAATCCTGAAATGTTTTCCTCAAAAAACTTAATTTCTTTTCCACTGAAGAAAGAAAGACACGAACATCTTGGATGGCATTGGGGTGAGTAAATTATCAGGAAATTTTAATTTTGAGGTGAACTAATCCTTTAAGAAGATAAGAGAAAAGTTGTATGAAGAAGTGCTTTAAAGGGGTAGTTCACCCAATTTTTTAATTGTGTCATCATTTACTTTCTTCTGAGGCATTTCTCAAAATATCTTCTTTTGCGTTCCAAAAAAAAGGTTAGGGTGAATAAATAAATTCATTTTTTGAATGAAAACACAAACACAATTTATATTCAGAATAGCTTAATGAAACTAAAACCCTATTTATCTGGTCACAGATGAATAATTGCAGAAAATATTATTCTTTATCTAAACAAATTCTGTCATCATTTACTCACCCTCATATTGTTCCAAACTTGTATGACTTTCTTTCTTCTGCTAAACACCAATTGAGAAGTTAAGCAGAATGTCTGAGCTGCTGTCTTCTGTACAAGCTGTCTTCTGTACAAGCCTAAAAAGGAAAAAGCACTATAAATGCAATATAAAAGCCTGAATGTGGTCCATATGACTTGTCCACTATTTTTTAAAGTCGTATGAAACCATATGATAGCTTTGTGTGACAAATAGACTGTCATTTAGGTTGCTAATCACTGAAAGTCTAGCTTGACAGTCATGGTTACCATTTACTTTCATTGTATGGTAAAGAGCAGCAAACATCCTGCCTAATGTTTCCTTTTGTGCTCCATAGAGGAAGACAGTCACTACATTTTGATAGACATGAATGTTAATTTTTGGTTGAACGATGGCTTAAAGAATATTAATTTTACTGTATTGTCTTTGATTCAACAGTCTGTCTGTTTTGTACATAGATTCCAGCGACATGTTCATACATACCGGATCCTCCCCGATGCAGATGGATTATTGGCTGTGCAGGTGAGAAGACAAAGGATCTGCTAATCATATCCTGGCAGGATTACCTTTTAATGAATTTTAAATTTCACATGCAAATTGCTTGACAACATTCATTGTTACTTTCACTTCTTCAAAAAGCAAAAAAAAAAAAGAAAAAAAAAGAAGCAGTCTTGTCTGCTGTCTAGAAGCATGCAGCTACGTGGTTTCAAAATGACCTCAGTGGCATTGCTGTCAATAAAATGTTTCACACAGATTCCTCCAGCACCCACGCTTCAGATCCAGTGAAGAATGCCTGGAATGGGTTTGTCTGTCTGTGGAGATAAAAATATGTGTGACATAAATGTTTCTGGGCATGCAGCAGTGTGGGTCTTTTGTACTAATTCTTTACTGCATGGATAAGGCATGTTGGTCTGTTTCATATAGAAACACTCTTCCAAAAGTGTTAGTGTTTTTAAAGGCGACTTTAAAATGTCGGTTTCCTAAAGCACATAATTAATACAATAACACAGACACAACTCATATTAAGTTGTTTAAGTGTTGTTTAAGTATTTCTATTGTAAAACAGTCATTTTCTGAATTTTCTCCCCCTCCCAGTGTCTGATTTCTTTTAATCGCTTTTCAAGAGCTGTACTCTTGGAAGGAAAACATTCTGCTATATAGAGATTTTAGGGGAAATAATTGAACGTTTTTGCCAAAATAGCTTCATTGACCATACTTTGAAAATACAAGCTTCTAAAAAAAAACATTCAAAGAGCGGGTTATTTTATTTGTCATGATGCCTGATGGTTTAAGTGTGTGTGTGCGTGTGTGTGTGTGTGTGTGTGCCCTTGTTTGCACAGTGGGTAGCTGGCCAGTGGCTGTTTGTGGTATGTAGAGTTTGGCAGACGCTAGAATGAGAGCATCATAATATAATTGTATCTTTGGTCCATAAAGCGGAAAAACTTACATGTTTTGGGAGTTACCCTACCTAGACCAATTTCTTGTTGTGGCAAACCTAGCAATTCTGCATTTTCTGCCTTCCTTTTTAGGATATAGTGTCTCAAATAATTTTTTGGTCACACTTTAGATTAGGGTCCAATTCTCACTTAACTACCTATTAACTATGACTTTTGCCTCAATAAACTCCTAATTACTGCTTATTTATAGTTAGTAAGGTAGTTGGGTAGTATTGGGTAGGATAAGGGATGTAGAATGGTCATGCAGAATAAGGCATTAACATGTGCTTTATATTAACTAATATCCTAGTAATATGCAAGCTAATAAGCAACTATTAATAGTGAGAATTGGACCCTATTGATCTGTCAGAATTCCAAATATTCGTAGTTTAATAAAAAGTTTGCCAATTCTGAAATATAAATAAAATGTGAAAGGTTGTGATCAAAAAAAGTATAAGATTTTAAAAAGTTTAGGATCTCTCATCATATACAATTTGTCACAAATGTTTTCATGCTTTTGATGATACAGTTATTCCTGTCAATCTTTTACTACACCACTGTTCCCTTTCCAACCTCCCTTAAGGATAGAATTGTGAAATGATGTACTGCACATTTCAAATCATCATGCTGTCCTAATTGATCTGTGAACCTGTTTGCTTTTATGTGTTGGGTTGTGTGTGTTTTTATTTCAGGCCACGCAGGGAGTGCAGGTGAATTGTTTCCGTACTCTTGGTGATTTAGTTGTGGGGTATCAACACCCTCACAAAGGTCTGGTGGCCCCTTTGCTGTACCCTGTTTTGCGTGAATCAGAGCCCAACGATGAGAGCTCAGGTAAGATGGGATAGGAAGCATAGTGGACTCCAGACACTTTTTAAAATTGACAAATACAAGAATAGTTGATAAAGATGTTTGTTCAGAAGCTCATAATTTAGAATTGGACATAAATGAAAAATCACTATTTGAAGGAGTCAGATCGCAGAACGCAGTAACAGTGCAGCTGTGAATGATTCACAGTCCAATTCAAACCACGAGTTTGAGGCTGCTACGTAAATCTTTTTTGAATGGTTCATTAAAAAGAAGCGGTTCAAATGAGGCTTAAGCTATGTTTGTTGTTGCAGAAAATACTGTGGTGCGCGGCTGATATCTGGTGAAACCGCAGGACTGACACAAAATTTTCTCGACTAGATTTAAACTTTTTGTCAAACATTTTTATTTTTTGTCGCATTTGCAACCATTTAATCCACAGCCTGCAGACCTGTTAGCAAAGTGTATATTATATTTTGTGTGATATTTTGCTGTGACACAGTTCTACCCACAGGCACACAACATTCAAAATTTTAAGCTTACATACAGGTGTCTTCTCGTTGAAGATGGTGACGATGAGAAGCCAGGTTCAACATTTGCCACCCCTCCACCACGAGCAATGTCCCCTGCAGGCCACCCTCCACCTTCCAGTTCAGCAGCCCCTCATTTACTTCTGCAGAGGCTTCAGGAGCTCCGCCCAAATAGGTACATTCATTCACACCTGACCTATGGATCAATATCAAACTTTTGGATCACATCACAAAACACTGTCTGTGCTTGTAAAGAAATGTGTGAACACTATTGCCACTTTTACAGCTCATTGTACCAATGTTTACCTCTGCAGTTTAGGCTGCGAGATCATCCCATTACTAGATGAGTATCTGCATGGCAATGTGTGTAAGGACCTGGAGAATGTGAAAGGGGGCGCGTTAGGACTGCAACACTTTCAGTGTATCCTCAGCCGTGCATGTGACAGTCTGCACAGGTGCTGTTTCTCTAACATCACATGTCCTTATACACACTGAACATTTGAAAAATGACTGTTACATGTCCTGGCAAAACGTTATCCCTGATTTGTTTATCACAGTGAGATTGACCAGACACTGTCTAGTTTGGAGACTTTGGCGAAAGTGTTTGATCATCCTAGCGGCCATCTTACTTTTCCCACAATGCAGGTAGGCTACATCCCATTGTGGTTTTACACATACATAAGGCTAATATAGTAAGCTACTATGTTTAATCAATCCTATATGTCTTTAGTTTAAGAAGTGTGCTTCACACGTAACATGTTTTATAAAGGATTGCACAATGTGTAGCTTATATATGGAACCAGAACAACAAAGTTGTATTACATGTTCAAACAGGAATGGGATCTTTACTGGTCTTTGCAAAAATAAACATCACCATTACTATTGCTCATACTTCTTATTAGAGATCTGAACAAAGCCCTGACCCTAAATATAAAAATTTTGTGTATAATTTGTCCTTCGTCGTTTGTACTACAGACATAAATAATTGCTCAAATCATGCAGCTCGTTGAGGAAAGGTTTCCGATTACCTTTCTAAGTGATCTGACTGACTTATTTTTGCTGGTGGATGTTTAAATCAGGTGAAAAAATCCCTTAGACCAATGGTTCTCGACATTTTTTATTCGAAAGTCCATCATCGTCCTACACAATATTCATTGATTTTCATTCAGGATTCATTAATTCCTCTGATATTTATACTGTAATTATGAAAAAGTTGCTTGTTTTCAAACTTTTTTATCAACAGAAACTGGGGGTGTTATATTAATTAACGACAATTTATTTTGTGTTTTGAGGAAAGACTATAGTTTACTGTATATCCTGATTGTATGTTTTTATCATTTCAATTAAGTTATATTATATTAATATATTGATAAATGTTAACCAATTGTGTTATTATTATTAATATATAAATGTAAGTCATCCTGCGGCCCCTTTGAACATTTTCTGAGGCCCCCTAGTGGGCTCCTTATTATGCAGCATAATGCACAAACCACAGCACCCTAGACTTGTGTATAGGTGATTTCTGCATGAGCTAGCAGTGCAAAGACAACAGTATCCTCCAGGAAGCAAGTTTTGGGTCTAATGCTCTGCTTCTCCACCTTTTCCTCATATATTCCTGTTTTCTCATGAACTCTCTCTTCATTAGAATACAGGAACGAGTCCTGAAGAAAACATGGATAATCTACTTCACAAGCTCACTACCCTCTGTAATCTGTTGTCTTCTCTGGAGAAGAGGGTAGAGACACACATGAAATATAAAAACAGCATGCACAAGCACACACAAACCACATACATGTCATCTTTCTGCATTTCTTGTAATAATGATGGCAATTTCATGTCTTTTTCAGGTTCTCAAAGCTTTGCAAGAAGCTGTAGCCAATCACAACTTATCTTTGCAACCAGCCACTCCTCCTGAGGCAGTAACAGCTAACAAAAAGCATGCCCGACCCAGTCCCGTCCACAGCTTTCAGGTAGCACAATGTCTATGTTCTTCCTCAAAGTGCTAATATTTTAATTATGAAAGCGTGTGCATTTATTTATGTGCATGTGTTTGAATGTCAAGGTCAAGGTGGTCAGGTATGGCAGGCAAACAGTGTCGGTAGATATAGATGCAGGAGTGCTGGTATTTGACAAGAAGTCTGTCTCATTTGGTGTGGAGACTGTCACACACAACAGGAGTGAGTTAACCTTGTCTTGAAAACATTACTTACTTTAGTCTCTATTATTATAATGCAAGGCTAGTAAATGCCGTCTAATGCTATTGTTTTAGTCGTGCAGTTGGTAAAGTTTCAGAAAGGCCCTGCCAAACTGAAGATGGTCGTTGACAGTCTTCACAACCCACCGAGAGAACTGGTGTTTGAGAGCATAAAGGTGAGAGGACAAGACTTGAATTGGCTTATCTTAAATGTCCTATATGTCCTAAAGTACTGATGTATCTTCACCAGAAGCGTGAAGCCTTCTGTCGCCTGCTGCAGCTTATGAAGGCTGCTCACTCTCAGCAGTCTGAGCTTGATGTCATCTCTGTGTTTGTGGGCACCTGGAATATGGGTATCAATATACAATATATAATTAGTCATAAAATATATTATGGCTTCAACACCTGCAACAAGATATTTTATTGTTGTATCTGTATTTTGCCTGCAGGGGACACTCCACCACCTGCTTCACTGCAGACTTGGGTGACTTGCTGTGGTCTGGGTCTCACCCCAGATGAGTCCATTGCCTCTCTGCCTCATGATATATATGCGGTGGGCACTCAGGACAACCCGCAGGGCGAGAGAGAGTGGGTTGAACACGTCAGAGCCACGCTTCGGAGTGCAACCAACATCGACTTTAAACAGGTCTAACATTATAAAAATCTAAATCTTCATAGACCAGAACACTGTGTTTCTTCTTCTTAAGTGATCATGTATCTCTATTACTCATTTGATTAGATTACATTTGAGTGTGTTACAATGGTGTTTTTGTGTTTCCTCCTGTAGGTGGCAGTACAGTCCCTTTGGAATATCAGACTGGCTGTGTTTGTAAAACCAGAGCATGAAGGATGCATCAGTCAAGTAAACACGGCTAGTGTAAAAACTGGCCTGGGGAACACGCTTGGTACAAATCTTCCTTTTTAAAACAAACAAACAAACAAACACACTTACTAATGAACTAACTCTCCTTTCCCCTCTTTTCTCACCTCCTTTGTATTTTCACTTGGAAAACAAACCAAGTGATAAATAAATATGATAAAGAATAATTTGTTTTGTCTTGACGGTTACAGGAAATAAGGGAGCAGTAGGAGTTTCTCTTCTCTTTAACGGCACCTCAATGGGCTTTGTGAACTGCCATCTGACTTCTGGTAGTGATAAAGCACTCAGGTATTCACACACACATATATTTAGAGCGGTGGATCTCAAACTTTTACAGGTAGCAGACCACTTCAACAGAAAAACAAATTGCAGACCACATAGCAGACCACATAACAGCCCAGCATTTGTGTACATATTATCTTTCAGGATAGAATACACTTTATGACTTTCAAAATCTGATCAGTTTTTAAAACACTATGGTGTCATACACTTTCTGACTTTGCAAATGGTGAAAGAGGAAAAAAACTGGGCATAATACAATAAACAAGGATCCCAACCTGTCAGACATTAAGGTCGTTCAGAACACAAACTTGTGGCGAAATATTCACCTTTTAGCATAAAATTGGACCAATCTACATTTTTATGTAACCATTATGGTCAACTTGAAGAAAAAAATGTGACTACCTTTTAAGACTAGTCTAAGCAGTTTATGCAACGGATAACGTACTTGTGTTTACTATGTATTGTGCACTCCTGTTTAAAAGTTTGGGCTCAGTTAGACTTTTTAAAGAAATTAATACTTTTATTCAGCAAGGACTCATTAAGTTGATCAAAAGTGACAGTAAAGACTTACATTGTCACCAAAGATTTCCATTTCAAATAAATTGATAATAATAATAATAAATGTTTTCTTAAACACCAAATCAGGACATTAGAATAATTTCTGAACAATCACCTGATACTGGAAAAAAAGTGTTTTTAAAAAAAAACAATATTACTGTTTTATTGTCGTTTTGATCAAATTAATTTAGCCTTGGTAAGCATAAGAGACTTTTTTTTTTTAAAACGTTGAAAAAATATTACTGACCTCAAGCTTTTGAATGATAGCTTAAGTGAGAGTGTCTATTTTGCATTGTTCCTCTTTATTTTCTTAGGAGGAACCACAACTTCCAAGACATCCTCAGACTTTTGTCTCTTGGAGAAAAGCAGCTCAGCACTTTTGACATTAGCCTTCGTTTCAATCATCTCTTTTGGTGTGGAGACCTCAACTACCGCCTGGACCTGGATGCACTGGTTACACAGCTTATATCTGCTTTATTTCTGTGTAGATATTAGTCATTCCAGCTTTACTTATTCCTGTTCACTGCTTTTTATTAACTGTGATCTATAGCCATTCAAACATTGCTCCAAGGAGAACCCATTAAGTGCATTGAATCATCTTAGTTGTTCTGTGAATACTTGTTGCTCACTTGTATAATATATTGAAGGTCAGCTGTCTCTGACCGAGGCCTCTCTTTTGCAGGACATATTGAAGCATGTTTCAAAGCGAGAATTTGAGGAGCTGATGTGTGCAGACCAATTGACTAGAGAGCGGCACAGAAGAAAGGCCTTTTTTAACTTTAGTAAGAACAACGGCTGCTCTTCCACTCCCATGGACAACACACATGAAATCAATCAACGAGGTTACACAGCAACATGTGGGCCAAAAAAAACATTAACAGATACTTTATTTCTTGCTCTCTCTGTTAAGAGGAGGAGAAGATTTTGTTCCCCCCCACCTATCGGTATGAACGTGGTTCTAGAGACTGTTATCTGTGGCAGAAATACAAGTCCAGTGGGGTAAGACTTTCTATTTCATTTATTCTGTTGCTTCAGTTGATACTGAAATTGCTCAAACATCCTATTTACACTCTAAATGCCATTTGAATCAAAATCGGTGATATGATTGGGATGATCATGTGTGACAACACAGATTACAATTACTAATCTTAATTACTAATTGTGTTTTTAAAACTATATAAACTTTATTTAGGTGCAAGTCAACGGGCCCTCATGGTGTGACAGAGTTCTGTGGAAGTCCTACCCAGAGTCTCACATAACCTGTACCTCATATGGTATATTTCATTTCTTTCACTTCTTATTCTCAAGTGTTTGTCAAATCATATAAAATAAGAATAATGTAGCAGCTGCAGCTATAATGTGTTGTTGTGTTTTTAGTGCATTAACATGTATTAATAAAACATGAAGTGGTTAGATAAACTCCTTTGTTGGTTTGCACTTTAGCTTTAGGGGAGAAATTAAAACATTGGATTGCTATTTTTGTAGCATTTTGGAATGAGATGTGTATAGCTACTCTGCACAGCAAAGATTTACTTTGGGTATGATTGTAGGTCTGTGGTCAATGATCAGAGTCATATCCTGTCTGTCTGTCTGCTCTAAACATGTGAATTCAGCCTCCTCAGTGAAAGCCTCACACATATGATGCCAGTGTATATGATCACAGCCAACTGACCAAATGCATTGCATTTTATAACTACCTCACATTAGTGTTTTAATTAAGTTTTTTAATGGCAGCATTTTATGTGATGGGAATTTGATGTACAATTCAGAGGATGGTTTGTATGCAAGCCTCATTAAGACACCAATTGTAGCATTAAGAATTGAATTAATTTTGTAAGCATATATCACAAAAGGGGACGTGTTGATAATAACAGAGATGACAGAGTTGAATGAATAGACTTTGAACCGATAGGTAGGACTTTTTGGCATGCCCATTCAAATCTTAGGCCCTGCTAACACTTATATTAAGATCCGTTTTGATCGATGGGATCACAGGTGGACGAGGGAGACATTTTCGTTTACACCTGGTGTTTAAATCTGTCTCTTTTGCCCACTTTACAACCACTTATGTCCTTATTTATTTGAGGGGAGGGTCAATCTATGGGTGGGTATATATATGGGCTTTTTCAGATCTTTCGATCTAATGGATGAAATAAGTTTGACGACGGGAAAAACACAAGGAGAACAGAAGCTATAATTTTTGCTCTGATAGCTGCAAGACGACACCGAACGCTGTGAGTGTGTGTTAGAAATCAGGAATGGTGAGAGAACATTGCGCTTGGTACGTTTTTCGTCTCCATACCAAACTTGGGTCTTCAGCCGAAAAAGTTTAAATCCCGTCTGGCTAGCGCGCTTCCCATAATGTTTACGCATTCTCAGTAGGCGCAAAATAGTTTTTTTGGAGGGGTTTTTCAATGCATTCGACTACATGAGCGACTACACAATGCGTTTTCGACTACCTCTAGAAGTGGTAGAAAGTTGACAAGCTCAAAACGTTTTAGATCCTGTTTACACCTGCATTTACCATCGTCCACATGTAAGGGTGCTTTCACATGGTGCGATTGCCTGGTCCAAACCCTAGTTTGTTTGCTGTCCCCTCCCCCCGCCCACGCGGAATTGTGTTCAGAATATATTAGTTGGGTGCTTTTACATCATCAAAGCAGCAGCTACCCCTATTGCTTTGTAACAGTGATGCAGGATAATGTGGTAAAATGCATTGCTTTGCTCATCACACTTTTATATTTTTCAAAGCATCAGCACATAATGGCACTTGCGTCACGGAAGGTGAGCAGAACTGATTAGGTATGTCCCAATCAAGTTTTTTATGCCCCTGATCCGATCCAAGTAATTTAATACTGAGTATCTGCCAATATCAAGTCCTGTGGCCAGTTGAATAAACTGCTTAGACTAGTCTTAAAAGTTAGTCATCCATTTTTTTCTTCAAGACTGGTCGGAATTGTTTTAAAGTCAGTGACATAAAAAGGTAGATTGGTCTAATTGGTACTTGACACTTGTATTTTCCTAGTGCTTGGTGCACACTTCAAGTACATTAAGTAGTGCACCAAGCACTAAGAAAATACAAGTATCAGATCAACGTGTTATGGCAACCATGTCTCAAGTTCGGAAAACAGCGTTCATATCATCCAAACAAACTGAACTCTGACGTCAATCGAACTCGGGTGCGCACCAAAAGTGCTACTGTGAAAGCACCATTAAGCTTTATCTCAGAAACTATTAGGATACTATTAGGACCAGCTTTCCAACAGGAAACACAATGAAAGTAATGCCTGATTCACACTGCACGATTTTTCAAAGTGGTCGGATCGCTGTTCTTCTCACACTACACGACTCTCTGGAGTACTATAGTTGCTATTGTGAGTAAATTACACAATGGATCGGCAAAAGGGGTGTCGCACATTATACAACATTTCAATAAGTTGTTATCTGTACACTGATTTGCAAAAAGAAAAAAGAAGAATAGGAAAGAGAGAATGGTTGCTTGCAGAAGCCATGCTTGCTGATGTTCTGTTGCTGGTTTATGTAATAATGTCCACTGAAGGCAAGTTTGTAGAGAAGTTTATTTATAAAATGTGATCGGACTCAGACATGTACATGGCGTTTACCACAGTGGTTACAGGGAAATAATACTTGACAAGGAACAAGACAAACATGAGGGCTTAAATACACAAGGGTAAATGACAAGACAAGCGACACCTGTGAACATAATCAAGAAAATCAACCAATCAACACATGACACATAAGGCAAGGGAACACATGGCAGGATCACATGACTAAAACAGGGGATCACATGATAAGACATGAAACATGAACCAAAACAAGATGTGACAGTTTATGACTCCTCCCTCTGAACTTTACCTTGCCCAGTATCTTACTCACGCATTGGCTGTAGGTTGTCACCGATGTATTTTCCGGTCGAAATACATTTCACACTCAATTTAATTCAATTCAAATTTCTTTATTCAGTCATGATGTTATTACAGACACAAAAACAATCACAACAACAAAAAAATAATAACATTCATTTCTGAATAGGAGCATAAGGAAGACATAGTCTTATAAATTAATGCCCCTTTTTTCAATAATCTGAGCTAGTACAGAACAGATGGCTCGCCGTTTTTTAATTTTTTTATTACTTCAGTATTACTTCACATCTAAATAATTGACAGTTTCCAATTTTGGTAAAACATTGGTTCTTATGCTTCACTTCCTTCATATTTTTCAATTTTCAATTTCATATTTTTTTTTATACATTTTAGTAAATTGAACAATCGCGTTACATGATTTTTGACCCCTGTCCAAAGAGTTCCATAAACTAATGCCAGTTACAAGAAACCCCTTTTGTTTTTGTGAGGTGCGTCAATAAGGTACACAAAAATTGCCTTTTCTTCTGTTGTTACTGTCTGTGATTAGCATGAATTTGTTTTTAGTATTGGCACCAAATAATTTTTCACTCTCCACATAATTTGTAGTATTTTGAATTTGACCAACTCTTTAAATTTCAAAGTCTGCAGTTTTATAAACACTTGATTTGTGTGGTCTCGTAAACCTTGTTTAGTCACAATTCTTATCGCTTTATTCTGGAGTAATGGTGCGTTCACGTGCTATGGAAAATATGATATTTTCCACTTGTGAACTGGTATTTACCAGTGTGTTGCGTTCAAGTGCTTTTGTTGTCGTAATGTGGTAAAAAGATGGAGATCCAGACCTGTTATTTAGCTAAAACTATTTTAGATTGCTTAAGTCATCTGCTACAGCAAGAAAATGATTTATCAAAACTCAAACGTAAATAATATATGCTGTATATTTTCTAGATCATGAATAGTACATATTTTTACCATTCACAACTCTTGCGTTGGTCTCCACCATTTTGAAAAGGTCAAAGGTAATCTCATCTCGGCAACTCGTGCATCAAAATATTCTACCAGTTGCCCAGTGGAAAATACCACATGAGGGGGTGTTCATGTGCATTTTCCATGTCGGCTTTTGGTATTTACCATAATTACCATAGCACGTGAACGCACCATTAGAACAACCTATCTGTATAACTGCTGCATGCATTACCCCACACTTTGGTACAATATGTTAAATATGGAACAACTAAGGTTAAGTATAGAAGCTGTAATGAAGCTTCATCTAATGTGTGTTTAACGTTATAAAGAATACCAATATTTTTTACTAATTTTACCTTTGATATGCTCTATATGAGGCTTCCAACTAAGTTTGCTGTCTAGGATAACCCCCAAAAATTTGATTTCTGGAACACATTCAGTATTTACATCCTCAATAACTAATTTTGTACAGTCTTTTTTTTCCTAATTTCCAAAAACCATATAATTTGTCTTATCCCAATTTAAAGCTGCAGTCCGTATCTTTTCCTCTTTGTCGCCATCTCTCTGTTCGAAATCTGTAACTGCAGTGATTCGCGGAATTATCATCTTTACGTGGGTTGTAAATCGGCATGAAACAGCGCGGATGAACACAGTGCTTTGAGGCGAGTGTTGCTGTCAGTCACCGCGCTGTGTGGATACTGTCATACAGAATCACAGATTCACTTTTTGAAAGTTTGACCAACATAAGAATTTTCATAAGAAAATGTCTTCTGAACAAGAAAGTAAAATCCATTTTTGTTCTGACCAACTAAGGGGGAAAAAGCATTCGACATGATAAGCTTCGTTAGATTTAATCAACGCGATTTACAGCAACCGTGCAAATTATAGCCTACTTTGTTCTCAAATTGTTCATGTTAACAACATCAGCATTGCGTGACTAATGTTAAATTTAATGTGTTTTATGGTTACCTGTGTAGTTCAGAATTCATATTCTCCATAATAGCAAAACGAGAAAGGCACAACAAAGGAAACTCCAACTGTGTGAATTAAGAAAACGTACTGTTACACGATTGAACTATTGAAATGTCTTACTTGTTCAGCAGAAAAAAGCCGTCTCTTCTTCCGTTTTGAACCCCTTCAAAACACGGAGTTCACGCACTTTTCAAAAGCCCCGCCGATGTTTAAATCCTTGTGTTCGCATGAGACGGTTTCTTTCTCTTTCTCTAGCCACCTTAAATCCGAAGTACGAACTCTTTTGGGTTTTATAACTGCTGAATCTCCAGTTGACACTGATGATTGTTGTTTGGATCTTTCTGGATGCCATAAGTTTAATTATGTAAAGTGCTGCGAGAAAAGCCTATACATCTAAACATCTCGTCACGCGCAGTATAGCCGGCTAGCCGAAACTCCTTCTTTATGTGTACGGGTGTGACGTAATGACGCAAAGACATGCTCGAATTTCCCGCGGAAACCCACCAGTACCACTGGTATTAAATCATTATTACAAGCTAACCGTTTTGAATCTAGCTATGCCAAGCAGATAGTTTTGACCACTGGCAGAATAAGTTTTTTTTAATATAATTATTTTGGATTATTTTTAACTTAAAAAAGTTACGGACTGGAGCTTTAAAAACAATTTGTTACACTCAAACCATTTCTTTAATTCTGACATTTCCCTTTCAATAATGGCCATTAATTCATTTAAATCTGTCCCGGACTTAAACACAGTTGTGTCATCAGCAAACAACAAAAAATGTATATCTTTGGAAGCCTCAAATATATCATTAATAAATAATATAAAAAGTTTAGGGCCAATTACAGAACCCTGGGGAATTCCGCATACAACAGTCAGTCCGAGTTATGGTTTTTAAATTGAACATATTGGCTTCCATTACTTAAGTAGCTTTCAAGCCATTTATATGTCTGACCCCTTAATCCGTAATGTTGTAATTTTGTCAACAGTAGTTTATGGTTAACAGTATCAAACACTTTCTGTAAGTCCAGGAATATACTTACAAGATACTGTTTTTTATCCATTGCAGCAAGAATTTCTTCAGTTAAATGAATTAGTGCAACGGTTGTCGATCTATTCGATCGGAATCCGTATTGATAATCAAAAAGTAAATTGTTTTTTTCCAAAAATAGATCTAATTTATAAGTAAACCATTTTTCAATTATTTTAGAAAACTGTGAAAGTACTGATACAGGTCGATAATTATTAAACTCATGTTTATCTCCTTTTTTAAAAATAGGTATTATCTTCGCAATCTTCATCTTTTGAGGGAAAACACCTGAACTAAAAGAAAGATTGAAAATATAAGTTAGAGGTTGAAGTATGCAATCTACAGTTTTTTTTTAAACAATTTTCATATCTATTCCCTCACCATAACAAGAAGTTTTAGTTTTGCACTTACTCACAATATCTAAGATTTCAGTTTCGGTGCAATCATTAAGAAACATTGACTGCAAGATTCTACTACCTCCTGTCGCACTATGACACCCTGCTTCATAATTGGATTTTTCAAGTCTTTTCGCAATATTAGGTCCGACATTGACAAAGAAGGAGTTAAACTCATTTGCAATATCTATTCCACTATTAATTACCTTTCCTTTGTGTTCAAAATACTCAGGTAAATTTTTACTCTGAAAATTTGGCGTCATAACCTTATTTAAGATTTTCCAAGTTTCTTTAATATTATTCTTATATTCATTTAATTTGTTTTTATAATAATCTTTTTTTTGGCCTGTCGCATTATAGTTGTTAACTTATTCTTATATCTTTTGTATTTAATTTCATGATTACTAGACTTGTGTTTGATAAAATCTCGATATAGTTTATTTTTCTTTTTACAGGCCTTCTGTAACCCACTGGTTATCCGTGGTTTTTTATCAAACTTATTCACTTTGCCCATTTTTAAGGGACAATTTTTATTATAAAGGGTTACAAATATATTCAGAAAGACCTCATAAGCACTATTAACATCCTCTACAAAAACTTTACTCCAATCTTGGTTAATCAGATCCTTCCTAAATGAGCCTAGGACTCTTGAGTCACAGACAGGTCCAGATATTTATCATGCCAAATATCTCAATGGCATCGGCAATGGATTGGCACTTCTCTCAGATTGCGTCTTTGATAATACACATTAAGCGATGTGAACAATGTGAATAAGCACCGATTTGCTTCCTTTCAGGCACTGGTCGGCGATTTCCACAAAACTGCTGGAAAATGAAAATCAGGGCTAGTGTGTACCTGGCATATGGCAACAAATGCATGTAGTAATAAAACAAATATTTAAAATTGATTGTTTGGTTCTGTTCATCAGGATGCACAGACGACATCTTCACTAGTGATCACTCTCCTGTTTTTGCAACTTTTGAAGTCGGTGTAATATCACAGTTTCCCAGAACAGGTATGGAGTCTTTTCAGCTTGTGTCTCTGATAATGAAGTTTTTGACCTTTAGGTCATTTCATAACTCAAGGAGTTATATTAAGGGTTGCTGAACATGCATTTAATTAAGGAACCACCATTTCCCTTTACCACTAAACACATACTTTTCGAGGCTGGATCCAAGGCTGGTTCATTTTAACAGCACCAAGATGAGAAAGCCCTAAAACTATTTAAGCTTTTAGAAAACAAGGGTTAGTGGACCCAAAAAGTTAACTTCTGTCATTAGTTACTCACCCTCATGCCATTCCAAACCATATTACAAACACAAATACAAATATTTTAATAAAACCTGAGAGCTCAGAACAAACCTCAGTGGTTCTCACACATCAAGCAATCACATTTTAGCTTTCATTTACCATATTTGATGTGTTTGTTGTATGTTCTTTGATCAGTGTTTATTGAATAAAAGCGTAAATTAAATCTGTTCTTTTACAATATCTTTATGAACCTTTTTGACACATCAAAGTTTTAGTGTAATGGACTTTTTAATTGAGGGACAGAAATCTCACATTTCGAAGATGAACAAAAGTCTTATGGCATTTGTAACACTTGAGGGTGAATGATGATAACAGAATTTTATTTTTTTAGGTGAACTAACCCTTTAACTAATACACATCAGCTATCAAAATAGAGCAAGTATTTTTTTTAATTGAATATTTGTTTACTGTTTCACTTAGTGTCATAACCCTGTCACAGTCCTTTTTTCCATCTCTGTGGATGTAGACTCAGGTTCAGAGAAAGCCATCATTGAGCTGGAGGTGATTGAGGCCATAGTGAAAACAGCTAGCAAGGCCAAGTTTTTCATCGAGTTCCACTCCCGCTGTCTAGAAGGTATAAGGTATCTTTTGTGCAATCAGGCTAGCGATCATGCAATGCTTTGTTGCTAGTCTGTTTCCTTTTGAAATGTCAGGGGATCATGAGATAATTGTGACAGTTCTTTTTTTGTGACTTTATGCTTCTCCTTCTGTTCAGAGCCTCGCCGTTCTGCCGAGAATGACTCACAGTGCTGTGAGGTGCCAGGATTTCTCAAACTTGGCTGGTCTTCCAAACAGTTTCCCAAGGTTGTGATAAAGATCATTTGGCTCAGTGTGATCATTTGAAGCTATTAATAAGGATTTGACAGTTTTGGTTGGTAAATCAAATATCTCTTTTGCCTCTCCCTTTTCTCAGTTCCACCCAGTTCTCTCAGATTTAGAGCATCTCCGGGATAAGCACTTGCTGTTGTCTGTGAAGTCATGTGACGGCTTTGAGTCATATGGTAAATGGTCAAGCTCATTATGTCTGTTTATATGAAATTTCTCTGAAACAGTGTTTTTATTTTATTTTATTTTTTTAGAAACCATTACCTCATAACAAACTACATAACACATACTCTTATTTATGGTGAATTAAGGGCACTTTGTTGAACTCCTTAATTCTGTTGAATCAATGTGGTAATATTGATTAAATATGTAATGGGAGTTATGCCATTACAGGCGAGTGCTGTGTGCCTCTTCGCTCGGTAACAGGGAAATCATCGGATCCATTTGAGACATGCTTGACTCACAGAGGAGAGGAGATGGGCTCTATTCGAGGACGAATCAGGGTCTATGTACCACCAGACCGCCGAAAGATCCGGGAAAGGGTCTATGGTGGGTTAACCACATGGCCTTACAATATCACTTCTTTAAATATGCCCTGGACACCTTTTCCCCTTAAATTTCTTCCTGCTTTAGTTCCTCCTCTGCTTTGGATCTGTTTTTACTTTTCTATCTACCATGGCTTCTTCTTTTGGCTCCCTGCTGCTTGATCTTGTCCAGATGCATCCTGACCTTCACTGAAATATGACTCTTAAAGGGATACTCCACCCAAAAATGAAGATTCTGTCATTATTTACTCACCCTTAAGTTGTTGCAAACCTGTATGAGTTTCTTTCTTCTGCTGAACACAAAGGAAGATATTTTGAAGAACGATTCAAACTTTGGCACCATTGACTTCCATAGTATTTTTTTTTCTACTATGGAAGTCAATGGTGCCAAACAACTATTTGGTTCCAATCGTTCTTCAAAATATCTTCCTTTGTGTTCAGCAGAAGAAAGAAACTCATATAGGTTTGCAACAACTTGAGGGTGAGTAAATGATGACAGAGTCTTCATTTTTGGGTGGAGTATCCCTTTAAAGTGATGCACACAAAACATCCAGTGGCTCTGCCACAGACGTCTACAAAATTTAAACAGTTTGACATGAGCCATGTCTTCTGCACATTACAGAGTGGCTCTGTATTGAGAAGGATGAGAAGGAAATGATGAAGGACCAGTTGTCTCGCCCTTCGTCCAGTGCATTCCCCACCCAGTGAGTTAAAAATAAGCCCTAAGCTAATATTATTTACTACATCTATGGTAAAGCATTTTTATTCACACACTTCCACTAGCCTTTTCCATTGGATGACTTACACTTCATGTTCCCACTATAGAGCACCATCAGCCCCGTATATGTCAGCTCCAAACAGCTACACCAATCCTGCATACTTCATCTTTGAGGGGTTGCCTGTGTTGCAGAGAGTCGAAGAAATTCCCTCATCCAGCAAAGAATCACAATTAGTACGGGCCAAAGACAGCGTGATACAGCTCCCTAGAGTGACTGGAGGTCACAGCCATGGCAAAAGGTCTGCTCGGAGATCCGACTTCACAGAGATTGATATTCCTGGCTCCTTAGCACCCTATAAACCATCTTGTGAGACTCAAAATGAACTGTCATTGACTGCGTCCTCTTATCAGCTTTTCCCAGGTCCAGATGTTCCTAATACATCCCCAAATAAAAGACACACCACTTCCTTAAATCCATCTTTACAATTAGAGTCCCATAAGATCAATATGAGACAGGGTCCAGTATTGACAGTGAAAAAACTTACAAACTCCTACATGAACCATTCAGTTTTTTCCTGGGACATACAGACACCACTCAAAGAAAAAGTCAGAAAGGACTATCACAGGCTGCATCAAGGCAGGCCCATGCCAATGCAAAATGGACCAAACCTAAACCCCTATGTGTCTACAAGGGTTCCCGTCCATGAATCCTCTGTACCCTGGATTGTAGAGCAGCCAACTACAGCTTCAGGAGACAACTCACTAACAGCTCTCCAAATTGCTAAATCACTAAGTGAGGTGGATTTTCAGCCAGTAGACAGAAAGTACCAATTTCATGAAATGTCGTCTCAGCAAAGGCATCATGGGTATGATTATGGTTTAGCTAATGAAAGAAACTACAGCTGGGAGAAAGAGGTGAGCTGGGTAGTTTTCAGTAATGGATTATATTGTTCAGTAAACCATGTAAATATGGACTTTAGGATTAGCTTTCTGGTTTAGCTTTGATAAATACAAAGCCAATGTGTGTCTGCAGGTGTCAGTCTTACATGGAGCCCCAGAAACAGTGCGGGAGCTGCTCAGTACTCTGGGTTTGCAGCGTTACACCCTGGACCTCAGCCGCAATGGTTGGGATGATCTTGATTACTTCAGGTAAGATTGATGTTGATGTGATGTGGTGAAATTTTTTAAATAGATTGTCTTCCTCATTTTCTTCTATTCTCACTGCTTTGTGCTTTAGTTAATGACTCTAAGCAGCAATGGTGCTTTGTGAACAAATACGTTGCCAAAAGTTTGTTCTTTTGTCCTGCAGTGGTATTACAGAGGAGGAGCTGTGTACAGCGGGTGTGTCTAACCCATCTCATCGACGAAGAATCTTGGAGAACCTTCCCAAGATCTGGGACTGAACACAGATCCTGAGAGACTATCAGGTGTCATATCAGGAGACTATCAATGACAAGTTCAATATTTGCATTCCTAATACATTTATTTTTTTACTCTCCTTTGTAATTTAAAAAATGTAATTCCTTTCATAAAAAAGCTGATCACACCAAGTGTTCATTCTGTCCCTGTGGTCCTAAACATACAGTGTGGAATAAACTACAGTCCAATACATGCTTCTAACAATCCAAACAAATCATATATATTATTAAAACACAGACTCTTTAATTGTTTATTCTATGTTGAGCGTCTTGATACTTATACGTAGATACTGTGTATATAATAGCAAAGTCCTATCCTTGTCTTATCTAAGCATTCATTGTTAAATGTTACTTTGAGGTTCAGTACCTTGTCTGGTGACTGTAACACAGCTTGCCTATATCCCTGTTTTAAGCCTAGTTCCTGTATTTATTGATAAGAGACCCCAAGCTATATACTACCTTCTAAAAGTGCATAAACAAACTGTTTGCTAAAGGAGTCAGCTGGTCCTTTTAAGAGGAATACCTATTTTACTGTTTACCCCAGGGATTTAATTGCTATTCTCCCCTTTACTTAAGGAGATAAGCTCATGGAGGTTTAATGCTTACTTGAACAAACATAATGATTTCCAGTGTAGTCTTACATTGCTGGATCAACTGTAAATATTACCTTCAAAATCAGGTAACAGAATAATAACTGTTCACATTTGTTTTCTGACCATTGAAAGTGTAACCTGATTTTCCACAGAGATTGAATACAAACTGTAAAATTCAGTGTGTACATATCATTGTATTTGCTTTTTATTCTTATCAAACTATGAAACTATTAAGGCAAACTAGCTATACTCTAATTTATGACGTTAACTTGATGTTAAGTGCATTCTTCCACCTCCACAGTCCTATCCTCTTTTTAGACAAGTAGTGCTTTATACTTGCATTTATCTATTTGTAATTTGATCAATTATGTAATATTATCTTTGGATTAGAATGATGGTTTTATAAAGTCACAGAAAAAAGTGATTAAAAGGTGTTTTTGAATCTAAGTCAAATAGTATTCAGTGTCGATATTCATCTTTAAACTTGAACAAATATGGTACAGAAGGTTGTTTGTAGAAACAGGATCTTTGAGGACTATGCTTGCGTTGGGGTAGTAATAATGACTCTCAGACATATCAAAGGGCCTGTTTACACCTGGTCACTTCATGCATTTTCTGTGATCGGATTGTGAAAAGACCGGGTGTAAACGCATTCGAGGTGGATTTAACCCTCATGTTGTGTTCTGGTCATTTTGACCCGGAGAAGATTTGTCACCTTGATACACTTGTGGTGTTCCCGGTCAAAAATGACCAGTCTACAAAAAATAGCTTATAAATCACTTGTTATGCTATGTTATCACCCAATATTGGATTCAATCTAGGGGTCGACCGATATGTGATTTTCAGGGCCTATGCCGATACCGATTATTACAGGTCAAATAGACCGATAACCGATATTTTAAACCGATATATATATATATATATATATATATTATAGCTACACTACCGTTCAAAAGTTTGGGGTCAGTGAGAATTTTATTTTTATTTTTTGGAGGAAAGAAATCAATACTTTTATTTATCAAGGACAGTAAAGACATTTATAATGTTACAAAAGATTCTATTTCAAACAAATGCTGTTCTTTTGAACTTCCTATTCATCAAAGAATCCAAAAAAAAAAAAAAAAACTGTACAACTGACAGACCAACAAGTGTTTCAACATTGATAATAATAATAAATGTTTCTTGAGCATCAAATCCTCATATTATACTGATTTGTGAAGGATCATTTGACACTGAAGACACTGATGATGCTGAAAATTCAGCTTTGATCACAGGAATAAATTACACTTTACTATATATTCACACAGAAAACAGCTGATTTACACTGGAATAATATTTAATACTATAACTGATTTTTGTTGTATTTTTAATCAAATAAGCGCAGCCATGGTTAGCAGAAGAGAATTCTTTTAAAAGTATTTAAAATCGTACCGACCCCAAACTTTTGAACGGTAGTGTATGTCTGGTGTAAAACTGTAAATTAATGTCAAAATTAAGAATAACAAAGGGTTTTGACAAATACTTTCTTTAAATGATTTTAAACATATCTTTGAATCTGAGAACTGTTATTAATAATAATAATAATTACTTGTTGTTCGGGCTCGGTATGCGGCCCGAACCCAGAGTAGGCCTGCCCTACTCCCACCGTATTCCTGACTGTGAAATAAGCCAGGGGTGGTGGAGGGATGCTGGAACTGTCAAGGAATGTTAGGTGAGTTGACAGAGAATATATGCTTCCACTTGTGCTGATAGGGTAGACATTGTTTGGTGACGAGTTGATTGGAATGATTTATTTGAACGTGCTCCTCCCGAACCTTGTTTATAAAACATCATATATTGTAATTTTCTGCTCGTCTGGCACTTTGGAACAACACAGCCTTGTTTCGGCAGCGACTTTCAGCATGTTTTCTAACAACATCATTCTGGATTTCCAGAAATGTGATTTCAAACCACATGGGTGTATTGAAACAGATTTGTAAAAATCGCATTTCATGTGATTTTTTTCCATTCATACTAGCTAAATCTGATATGCACAAAAATCAGATTTGGACTGACAGTCTGAACGTAGCCTATTGCTAAAAAATAAACGTGTGAGAGCGTTACGTTACATGTTATTGCCAGCATATGACGGCGCTACTGCAACACGCATCGCCGCAGATGAGCAGCTGAGTAGGCCTAGCCTATCTTCATCAAGCCAACGCGCAAACTATCACAAATAAAACTGAAAGTAAGTAGCAGACGCTCAACACACAATCATCTTCATTAAAAATAAAGAAACTATAAATGATCTTACAGTGCCGTCGCGCTCTCTCCTCTTGCGGTCTTTGACATTAGCTGATGATCGATAAAATGCAGCTCATAACTGTTGCTTTCGGTGTATTATAGCACGGCACGGGAATTGAAGATCGGATTTATATCCGTTTTGCGAAAACACATTTATGTGATAAAGTGTAAATGGAATCGTTTTGATAAATCAGATAGCTATGTGATCAGTAAAAATGCATTAAGTGAGCAGCTGTAAACAGGCCCCAAAACAATGAGTTTGGATAGTCTGTTGACATCAACATGTCCTAAAAATGTCCATAGACATGTCATAGACAGACAGACAGACAGACAGAGAGAGAGAGAGAGAGAGAGAGAGAGAGAGAGAGCTGGAGAAAGTGCAGCATGAGTTCACATCCTTGTGTGGTCTCTGTTGGAGAATGCATCTGTGAGTCTGGTTATTACGTCATCTTAGCTTATCACAAATACACTCCACTCTTTCCACTCTCTCAAAAAAATTGTCCTTCCAATAGTTTGTGGCTGATCTGGACTCTTTCTATCTATCATGCTTTGTCATGACGCAAATGAAAGTGGGTGGAGAATAGGTGTGTATTCTGCACTAGCTTCCCCGACTTCACCTGTCAGTCATTAGATTATTATGTAGGCCAGAGATGAAGAGTGAATCTTAACTAGCTGTATTTCCGGTGACCAGTTCACATTACTGAGTCATTGTCCCACTCAAATTCCTGTACAATTTTATGCACTTTCTCGTAACTCCCTCTTGGACTAACCATCAGGTCAGCATTGCAAAGGAAGTGGGTCTTACCGTACCAACACCACAAACTAATCTCCCCAGCTTTCACACAGCTGATATATATATATATTGCATGACACGACATAAATTGTATTTTATTATGCTTTTATTACATCCTTGGTGTCAGCAATATAGGCAACAAGGCTACTAGCGCATCCTGATATAAGTCAAATGGATTTGAAAACTATTTAACAATCACAAACTACTCAGTTTATTACTGCAGCCAACATCATAAAGCCATTGTGTGAATATTCAATGTGAACTTTAACTCAGAGAGGCAAAGCAGTCATGCACCCTTATGGCACTCTAACTGATCACTATAGCAGATAAAGGTCTCTCTTGCAGTAACCTTTTGGCCTGTTCATTTAGCTTTCCATACATTTGCTCTTTGATGTTCATGGTAGTCTGCCCTAACTAAACAGTAAAAACAGATCATATTATTTAGTATTTACCATCACATATGTGTAGTCTGATATAAATGTGTGTGTTACTGATTATTTTGAGTGTAGGCCTATATGTTGCTAAAGAATCAGTTCTGGCAAATGAGCATTAGCTTCTGTGATAAAATCTTGCACTTCCAACCACTCATTGGTCAAATAGGAATGTGTTTTAACTTTTTACAAAATATTAAATTTAGTCTACAAAACAAATAGCCTATGCATAAACTCCCCTAGAATGGTTGGGACATTTTTTTTATTTTACTAGATACTGAAAAATACTGTCACTTCTTTGGAATTGTATTACATTATTTAGGGATGTGTGTACACACACTCATTTATGTCACATGGTGCTTGCTAAAAGTGAAATAAAATAAAGGAAGTATCATAAAACCATCTAAAATATCCTGGAATCAAAAGATTAAGAGTGTCAAATGTCTGGAGTTGCTAGTATCTGGTATAAAACGGAAAGACAACAGCACCATGTTTGCTTTGGGTTAAAGTGTCCTATAATTTAGCCTAACATTCAAGGATTTTATCATAAAAACTGGGCTGTATCATTTATGAGAGCCAACATGTTTAAAGGGCATGAGATGAGCTTCGACTGTAAATTACTACTGTCTGTTTGATGGGCAAAGATGGCAGCAACTGATAAGGCGAAGGTATGATACTGTATCCTACTGAGGTGATTTTAAGCTTCACCTCTCAGAAATTAGAAAAAGGGGAGTTCCTCTTTAAAAATCGAAGATTTCTAAAACCAACTTCTTTTAATATTGTGGTCGGTTTCTCGTGGTATTTAGGAAAGGTGATGAGATATTAAGCAAGTCAAACCTGGTGGATTCGTCTCGACTCTCGAAGCGTAGCAGGAAGAAACTAAATTTGGCGCCGATTCCCCGCCCCTCAGCTCACGCGCTCACGGGCTCACCTACTCCAGCGGGACCATATCAACTCGAGCGCTCCCAATCCGATAAGTCTGGATCCGTAAATCTCTTAAACAGGCTGAATGGTTTTAACCATTAGCGTCAAATTATATAAGTTCGTGTTTTGACCTGTGAAGGGAGTGGGACATGTTTACCTTGTTCAGCTGAGTGAACGGTAAGTTTTAGTGTGTGGAAACAGTTCCGCGTGCTCCCCTTTATTCTCTCTGTATTTCTGAAAGATTTACCCATCATGTGCCTTATGTGTACAGTTGTGTCAGTGAGTTTTTGTTTGTTTGTTTTTGTATTTCGTTTTGCGATTTATTATTAAGTGTAATAGGCTATGTCTGAGACGGGGATAGTTTTACAAGATATTATTTCAGTGCTAAACTCTTGAGTTAATATTAGGTTAGTTTTCTTTTTGTTTGGGTATGGTGTTAGACTATTGTTTTTGACCTAAACTCGTGAAAGTGAGTTAAAATGACACTTGTTGTGAGAACAAAAGAGTTTATTCTTTCTTGACACTTTTAGTTCATGTTGATTTTATAGCTTGTGTTTTGACAATGTAAAACAGTGCTTTGAAATCTGTTTTAGATTGCTTTACAATGAAATGTATCATGTGTTTACCTATAATATCTCTTAAGTTTCTAAAATTGCTTTACATATATATATATATTTTATTTTAACAGAAATGAATTCATTCTCAAGGAAAGGTGTCTCAGGGAATTTGTCCCTTCCTTCCACCACACTGATACCAATGTCTTCCAAGGAAGTGAATTTCAGCTGTCTCTTCAATGAGGAGTTCAAGTATATTCTGCTACCTGTATCATACTCACTGGTGTGTTTCCTGGGACTGATACTGAACTCTGTGGCTCTGTGGATGTTTATCACTAAGATGAGGCCCTGGAAACCCAGTACAGTGTATATGTTCCACCTCGCCCTGTCAGATGCACTCTACGTGCTCTCCTTGCCAATGCTCATATACTACTATGCAAACCGCAGCCATTGGCCTTTTGGTGTTTTCCTCTGTAAGATTGTGCGGTTTCTTTTCTATGCCAACTTGTACTGCAGCATCCTTTTTCTCACTTGCATCAGTGTGCACCGCTACCTTGGCATCTGTCATCCCATTCGTACTCTGACTATGGTGAAGCCACGCCATGCCCACATGGTCTGTGGTTTTGTCTGGACGGCAGTGATAGCCTGCTTGGTGCCCAAGCTGATTTTCGTCACCACTTCTCAGAGGGGCAATGACACTTTGTGTCACGACACCAGCCGTCCAGATGAATTTCATAACTATGTTACCTATAACTCTGTGGTAATGGTGCTGCTGTTTATTCTGCCATTTCTGGTCATCATGGTTTGCTACTGTTTAATGGCGTGGGCCCTTTGCCAACCCAGAAAGGGCCTGTCCCAAAGTCAACAGAGTTCATCCCGGAGGAAGTCCATTAAACTTATCATATTGGTGCTGGTTGTGTTTGCAATCTGTTTTGTACCCTTCCACATCACTCGTTCCCTCTACTACGCCTACCGTATTCTAGACGCAGATTGCAAGTCCCTTAATATCGTCAACTTTGCTTACAAAATCACTCGCCCTCTTGCCAGCATGAACAGCTGTTTGGACCCCATCCTCTACTTCCTGGCAGGGGATCTCTACCGCTCTAAACTTATAAGAGTTTTCACTAGGCAGACGCCGAACACTCGTTCTACAGCGTATGTACATGAAAACAACATTGGACTGACCTTTAAGAACCCAGATGCCCAAGCCAGCAATGAGTCGAGACTCTAGACCCACATACCCAGACATTTTGGGTAATAATTTAAAAAGCTGTTCTGAAAGACTGCCTCAAATTGTAGAATGTGTTCTGTCAAAATCCATGTCTGCTAAGTCACACGTATACCCAGAAGAATTCAGAACAGTCTCGTTGTAAACACTACAGCGTAGATAAAAGTGAAGGAGTCTCTTTGGAGAAAGGATGTGGTTTGCTTCCTTTGTGCACTCCTAAGGTTTTTTCCATTCGGTATGATTGCTGGTAATGTATTTAAGAGAAACTTCAGCTCATAAAAGCACTGATGGCCAATCACTCCTATGGTTACTTGTAATGTTGAAGTTTCTCACTGTTGTTCAAGGACAGAACTTGGCAGTGTTGGGAATCTGTCAACACTGAAAACAAAACCCACTCTTTATCCCAGAGATGGACTCTGGCCTTTGACTGTTACTACAGAAATGCCAGCACAAAGCCTTTTGTGTGTTCTGTTATGTCTGAAGGTCCTATGGTAGGAAATAAAGGTGCTGTTAAAATGTCATTTATTTGAATTAACCCGAGAGGTTGGAAGCCTTTTGAGGCACTTTTAGTGAAAAGGTGAATGGTTGTGGGGGAGGCTGAACGTCAAGCTGCAGTTGTGCAGATATCCCCTCTTGGCCTGCTTCATTCCTCGTACAGCTGTTTTTGTCCTTTGGTGGAGAAGATCTACAGCTGTGTTGTACATGTGTTTGTGTGTATTTGTGAGTAATTGCATAGCAGGGCTGAGTGAAGAAAATAAAAAGATGGAAGAAATCAGATCCGTTTTGGCGTAGTGAGAGTACCACCCCCCTCCCCGGATATAACCTCTGTGGGAATGTTTGTGAGTTTGTGCATTTGATTATTTCATGTTTAGTGTTGTAAATATTTAGTGACATTTATCTGGTTACGGTATTTGTTTAATTTCAAATTGCATTTACATAATGTGTTTTGTATTTACATTGAAGTGACTGAGTTTTCCTAGCATATTCCGTCCATTTTATATGCCCCTCTCTCATACAAAAAAACAAAACAAAACAATGACTAAAATAAAATAAATCAAAAGGAGAGACTATACCACATTTTTGTGAAAAACTTGTTTACATAATAAAATAATCTATTTTATTTAGAACATGCTACAAATGTGTTGTAAAGCTGATCATTTATGTTGTCTTCTGTGTGCTTTTTTATACAGCAAAACAGTTCCCACTTTAACATTTTTTTTTAACTGTGTATTGAAATGCAAATTTCTTTTGTATTTATATCCAACCATATATTCTTTACAGTAGAAAATTGTGTGTGCCATTTAAGGACACTGCACAAAAGTTATAATTGCAATAGTTATAATTGCATATATTTTTTTCTATTTAAAATTGATTTGAAAAGTGAATACTATTTATGCTTGGAACAATTAAAAAGGACATTGATGTAATTTTGATGTTGTCATTATTTAATCATGTTTTTTTTGTATTTGATATTGTGAAGGAGGAGGGTTGGTCTTGGGGCTCTCAGGGAAAAGCTTCATTTTTTTCTTTTGGTCAGTAGAGGTCCCCAGAGCTGTTTTTAATGAGTGCATGCATGGACTTCATATCCTTAAGATCTCTGTCCAATGACTTTGACTATGATAAATAGACCTGTTGGCTGCTGCTTTTGCTGTGGGGTTGTTGAGGTCATGAATAGTTTAATATGCAAAGCACATGGAGAGTTCATGCCCCCCTTCTTTTCTTGCACTACAATCCCTGAATATACGGAAATAAATGAAATCAAATAAGCCAAAGCCAATGTACACAATACATGTATATAATTAAGGAAAATTGGCAAAAATGATGACTGTGGCCTAAGTTTAGTCTTATGGGTCTCTGTTTAAAATGGGGGGAAATTCTAAACCATTGTAAATCGCTGTGAAAAATACAATTAAATCCAAACAAACAAGTGTTTGAGTGTTGTCAATTGCAAGTTTTGTTTTTGAACTGCTAAGCCTGCTTCTTTGTAGTAAATATCTCTAAAGTGTAGTGATATGTTTTTGTTAAAGAGGATGGGTGATATTCTAAGACTAATATTCATTTCTCTCTAGTAGTCCTAATCTTCCCTCCCCTCCCCCTTCACGGTCTCAACTGTTTCATCCTCTCATTCTTTTGCAGGGCCCAAGGACATGGGGTTAGGATCACTGCAATAAAATACTCATAAAAGACATTGAACAAGAAAAAAATATATAACTGCCGGAGAAGCATGATTTTTCCCCATCAGTTCTTGCAATAAGTAACCTTTATGTGTCTTGTTTGTGCTGTGCACAGAGGTAAATGAGAGAGGTAAACCACATAGTCTAAAGAGAATTGATCTCTGTGGTCACAGAAGCATGTTCTGTGTTCTATGACAATAATAAGGTGTTCATATTCTATGAAACAACAATACAAAAAATTGTGTGTCTGTGATTAAATATATATATATAGAGAGAGAGATTCCTGTAAACCCTGGCCTGCAGTTCATGCTTGTGTTTCTTTTAGGAAGAGATGACCTATGATCCTTAGGCAGCCAATCTTGTCTATCTAAAAGGTATGGTGAAAACAACATACACATTTCTCTATAAATGACTGTGTGAGTTAATTGCCTTTTATTTTTTACATTCCCACATATGTTGCTTTATTGTATATAAAGCAACATATAAAATATATATGCAGTCAACAACATTTAAACAAAAACATTACAAATCATTTAAAAAATGTTCATGTTAGCATTAACACTCGAGGAGGAGTTATGGTTGTGCTTTCCAGTCACACAGACATTCTGTTTCTGCCTACTGAACCGTACTTTTTATAAGCAAACTGATCAACTTGGGATGCATGATGACTTTACTTTCACAGTCTCTCTGCTCTGTTGTTTGTCTCATTCGAGAATAAACGAATGATTTCAAGGATGTGGACAAGGACTGGGATGCTGAGAGTGAAGAGGAAGAGTGACATAAAGAGGAAAGAAGTTCATTACCCAGCTGAATAGGAGGCAAATGGCTTTTATAGTCACCATGGGAACAGGGCTTTCTGTCCCTGACAAACATATAATAAGGTACTTCACCGGCCTAAACACAATTATTGCATGCTAAAAAGGGAAATATTGCTTTCCAATGTAGTAGGTGGTAGATATTGATTCACATGGTTGTTTGAGCAGACCTTCAGTGTAAATGTTTAATTTGCCTCTTTATTCAGATTTTGGCCACATAAACATTTCCACAAGACACTTTTCTTAATCCTATTACCAAGTTGACATCAGAGACAAAGCAGTGAATGAAGGGAAAATCTATAAGAGCAATTGTTTAAACGTTCATTCAAGGCTAAAACCAAACAACCATATAATGTGAAACAAATGTGAAATTCACAATATCTCTTCCTTGCCATGCGTTTATGCTCTCAGAAAAATCATTGATTTTGCTGTCAGGAGTTCAATTATCACACAAAATGCAAAGCCATCAGCAATAAGTATATATGTATATACTTGCTTGATTACATAATGATAAATGTGAATGTAGAATGCTTTTATCTAGGGTTTATAAAAAGATTCCAGAAATAAAAGATTTTTAGAACATAAAACAAGTACTTATTAAAATATTTTCATTTATTAATTTACAAGTGCATGAAACAATCTATATGATTTTAACACTATAAAATATTGGAAGTGTTTTAAAGAAATCACAGTATTTAAAAAAAAAAAAATTTAAAGTGCCTACTCTGTAATGAGTGATAAATTGTTAATAAAATCTTAGCCCTTATTCTTTCAGAGGGTTACTGATCAATCTGCTCCGGTACAGCAGGGATGCAGGAGGCTTACGGCAGCGCTCGAGGCCCGTCTGCATGTGGCTGATGATCACACACATAGCGCTGGGAGCTATGTGTTAGGGTTACTGGGGATTAACGCAGCCCAAATCAGCTGGGCCACCCCAACGTAGGCAAATTGTTTTAAACCCCATTACAGCAGCCACAGTATTTCCTTCTTATCAAGCCCCCTGCAGCTTCTCATTAATATTCCAGATATATGGCCGTGCACTCTGTATCATTGTCTATTAATGAGACAGATAATCATTCATTCAATTATTAGACCGTCAGCCCACGGCCGTGCCCACCGGGTTAGCCTTGTTTCTCAGTCGCTGGGCAGGCTGGAACAGAGGGGTGCTAGTCAGGAGGTGAGGTTGATAGCAGGGATTACACCATATTAAAGCCTTTAATAAGACAAACAGCTCAGGAGGGTTAATGCAGAGAAGGTTTTGGGAGACCAGATATCTGGCTTGTGTTTTTTTTTTATGTGGAGGCCCAGCGTGCTTACGGCAAGAAACTTTTGAACAAGAAAAATGTTTCTGAGTAAACAGGAACAGCCAGCACTTTTTAACTAATGATGATGTGACTTGTGCATTGATGTGTAGTTCAATGAATCCTTTCTCATCTGAAGGTTGACCCTGACCTCTGTTGGTCAGAAGCTGCTGAGAGATCAAGTGCATTGTTGATTCCTGCTGAGCACCAAGATCTGTTCTTCTGCTGTGAGGGCAACCACCTGGGCCACGACAAACTACTGAGGACAGTGATAAGCGTCCGTTAATTGACATACACACAAGTAAGTATACATCAGAGCAACCAGCAAGTCTGCTCACTCTCCTTGAATGAACTTCACTGCTGTTTGCACCAAGCTTTTGCTGTTAGTGTAAGACGGTCTGACGCGGTCCGAGAGGGTCAAATGAGAATGTGGAAAAGATAGGAGGTGAAATGTTAACAAAATCATAGAAAATCCTGAGCTAGATAAATTCCTGCATTTTAAATGAACAGAGGCAGCCGCGGCAGTGGGAGAGCTTTGTCGCCGGCCCATTTTCTCGGCACAAGGCGCGCAGTCCCGGGGTCAGCAAAGTTACGAAAGTAATTAAAGCGGCTTGATTCACCGCCTGCTGCAGAGAAAAGAAAGCAAGCTGTCATTCTGATTTAGAAAAATAAATTACAATTTTAATAAAGGGGTGTGGGATGGGGGTGCTATGCTGTCTGGGAGCTTGCTTGCTTGCTTAGATGGGGAAAGGTAACAGGAGGGGGTGGTCTAAGGGTTTCTAGCTGCCTACTTATCAATAGTTGCAATTTTTTGAAACCACATCGGTATTACATTGCGGAAGCACAAGTGCCCTTAAAAAAGAAAACCCGGAGAACATTAACATACTGATTTCATGCGCGTGGCAAAGGGTCTGTGCCAATATCAGAGAGGACTCAGCACTCCTATTGTCTGCTAGAACTCTGGTCTTCTCTGATATGAAAATTCAATTATATTATAACTAGATCTCGCGCTGCGTTTTGACAGTCAAGGGTAGCATTTTGCCAGCTGCATCAGTGTGGGGGACCAGAGGGTCCTGATAGCGCTGAGGCAGCCTTTCAGACATTGACATGTTTTCGGGGGACAAGATTACTTAAATGTGTCGCATTTAAGGAAGGAGAGTTAATCTAATGCATTGCCATTATCTCTCTCAGGTAATTCCAGTACCACCCCCAATCTGCGTGTTTACGCGCATACACATCCTCTCATATTCCCAATTACACTACACTGCCATCAGATTCTTCGCAGTCTCTCTGCTCAGCACAATGCATGTTTATTTATTTTTTATCTAGTCATTGCCTGTAAATAAACAGGAAGTTTTGGCTGACGGGAATCGTTTTCTCAGTGGCAAGCAGTTTTTAGGTGACAGCTTTCATGGGTCTCTGAGAACTCAAGTTATTCAGTCTGAATGCCTTGAGAAGTGAGTTAAGTTGTCATTGAATTGCTTACATTCATTAATTCTTTCACACAAGAGGAGCAGAGTGTGGAACTGTACCTTGTTAAAATGTATTGAGATTTTAAAATATATTGCTTCCCTCATTTAACTAATCCCTACTGAGAAGGATTCTTCAGAATATGTAAATCTCAAAAAGTGACTTTAAAGAGCAAAACTCTGAACTTTTTACAATTCCTTTGCAGCAAATGCTTTCACTGCTGACTATAGGAAGACGAATCATGTTTGTATGTTTATCAGTGTAATGTTTTTTCTTATCCCCTTGTCATTGGAAATGAGATAAGATGTTGTTATAGTGTTCCAGGAAACAGCTAAGACTAGTCTTACAACTTGTAGATTGGACAAAAAATGTAGATTGGTCTAATTTGATACTAGAAAGTTAGACTGATTGCCCCTTGACTCAACACTACTTGGTCATATTAGTAGTTAAGACACATAAGGGCTTAATATAAGGGCTACGTTTATGCAACCGTCCCCAGGTCAGCTTAAGGCTTTAAAGAGATTGTTCCCCTAAAAACATATTTTGTCATTACAACAGAAGTCAGTAGGGTCTAGTGTCATTTTGGCCCCTATACAAACTTCAATTGCATGGACAAAAACAGTCAAAATATTCTACAAAATATCTTCTGTGGCTTCACAGAAGAAAGAAAGAAAAACAAGTTGAGGATGGGTAAATTAATTTTCATTTTTGGGTTACTCTCCCTTAAGATGTGATGGTTATGTTTGAAAGTATGAGTTTTAGAGGGATAGATGAAGTCATGGATGGATGGATGGGGAGAGAGAGAAAGAGAGAGAGAGAGAGAGATCGCAAAGTGAATTAGAGAATATTTTGGAGTGTAAATATTCCAGAAATCTTGGAGTTTCTTTCTTTCACTGGACTTCAGTCCTCATTGTGTGTGTGGTTCTATGTCAGAGAGGCCAAGACACAGGAAACGCCCCCCTCTTCAGCCCACAGCCCTGAGACCTGAGAGTGGACCCCCCATTAACCCAGCACACAGCACACACATACCTGCCTCCCCTCATTAGGCTGTGTTGAAGTACATGCTCTCCTAAAAGGAGAATAGAAACCCTAATTAGTATTCTCTGCAGGGCCACAACCATTAGCACTTAATTAGCACAGAGAGCACCCCTCTTTCCGGGTGTGGGGTGGGAAGTGGGGGTTATGTTGAGTACAATATTTCTGCATATTCGCTGTATGCCTTGGCCATAAAGAGTTTTTGGTTTTGCACGTTTGCTTGTATTTGTATGCACATTTCTGCTCAGTGCCGTATTTCAGTGGTTTGGTTGCATATAGTCTGTTGACTAAAACGGTTGCCTTTTCTTTCAGTGGCCTGAAGATAATATAACCATTAAGGATTGTGTTCTAAAACTATGCAATGAATGTAATTGAGTCAGTGACTCTTATTTTTTTGGTCTTATCTATTCATTTATTTGAAAATATAATAAAAAGCCATTTATAGATACAATTCGAATACACCTGTTCTAAGATTTTAATTTCAGTATTTTTATCTTTTTTTTATATCAGGGTGTTACAACTATCAGAAAACAAAACAAAAATTATATACAATCTGGTTATTCTTAAAAATCTATTTTGCCATGATCTTTAAAAATTTTTTTTTTTTACTATATTAAATATTTGAAAACTCAAGTGGTCCGACCATCATACAAGGGAAAAAAACATCATGATACAGGAAATATCCAACGCATTCTCACAGCGACAATGATCCCTGCAGACCCTCATGACTGTTTCCAGGTCAATAAGTCTCCTAAAATATCAACTCATTTGACCCTTTTTTTATTTATGAATGAATCATTCATAATATTTTATATGAATATTTGATATGTAGTGCACAGAGTATGCTGGGGATTAGTTTGTGGTATTTTATTCTCCTTTCCTGTTCCACCTTCAACTTCTTTTAGTCCTCGACTCAGCCCAGGGCCGGTGCCACCTTTCACTTCCTGAAACTTTAGAGGCGGAAAGCCATCATTTGACAATTTGGCCTGAATGGGGCGGCCAGCAGATTGAATGTCGTTTTCCCACCAGGCTTCTCCATCCAGTGCAGCATGGAGGGGGTTGGACGAGTAGGATTGGGTGTAATGTGCAGAGTAAAATAAGCTCTTTGATGGCAGTTAATGGTTTGAGATGAGTGCCACTGACGTATATTTCCAGGAAGATCTCTCTTTCTCCCTGCAGCTTGCTCTCTCTTTCCCTACACCCCTGTAAGATCAGACTGGGCCGGCCTCTGCTGTCAAGGCTGTAATTTGCCCCTGATCAATGTAATTATGCAATTCTAGTGGCCTCCTCCCGCTCAGATGGCCAGTTTTCCAGGTGACTAATCCCATACTTTAAACCCTTGGAAATCACACAGAATGGATGCGGAGCACACCTCACAGCAGTCCAAATGAACTTACTTGATTATAGCATAATTACTGGAAAACAAATGTGCAATGTAAGTGGCAGCAGTTAAATTCTCTATTTTTATATTGTGTAACAATGTAATCTTAGTGAAACAAAACTGCCCCCTGTGGCATGTATGGTAATGATGTGCTTAACAGCCGCCTGTGGTCAGTAGGGTGTGAATGCGTTGATGGCCCTTAGATGGGGCTAAGGGTGGGGTCATGGTAGTAGTGTTTTTAAAAAAATCTTTTTTCTAATTAAATGAATGATGTCTCTTTGGATAGACAACACAAATACAACAGAAATTCTTTACCTCACACATACATAATTATGCAGTCAAATTAATCTATGAGAATTCCCTCTGTTTATGTAAGCCTTCTATTGCCCCATGTTGCATATTGACAGATGGGTTGTGAGGGCTGTGTTAAATGTCTTTATTAATCTATGCCTGTCATTTTGACAAAGATGGAAATAAAACACCATTTACAGCCAGGAGCCATCAAGACGATCAGAAAAACAATTAAAGGCTGTAATGGATGAGCACAGAAAGGTCATCATTTATATAGCAAGTTAGGAACACGTTTGCATTGCTTTGAATTGGTACTGTTGTGTTGTGTTTGCAACTAACTTTAAAAAAAAAAAGATTAATCGTTCAATTATTTCTTAGATTAAAACCCATGTAACAAGCCCCAGTCCTGCAGCAACCCTGAGCAATAACATTCTGTTTTGTTTTATTTCAGACTCTCTCAGTCGTTTCTCTGTCATATGCCGTGGTGCTTTTCAGGAGCTCCAGGTCAGTTTCCCTACCAAGTTTTGTGGTCTGCCATGTTGTCCATTCTGCTCAGCTATTTAAAAAATGTTGAATATCAACAATGGCTTTCACTGGGGCATTGTCAACTTTTGTATGAAGCAATCTTGGCTGAATGCGATGGTGCCCAGTGCAGGGAGGGCTTGGCTCAGCACTGAGCGGAAAGGAAGACTGCAGCTCGCCTGCCCTTCTCTCTCTCGTCTCGGCTCAAAGCGGCATGGTTTGAGAGTCTTACCCGACTCTCTTCAGTGGAACAGTATGCAGGACCTTAAATGCAGAAAGAAGGATTGAGAAGAGCGACTGTGCAGCGGTGAGTGTCTTTCTGGAAAACTGCAGCTGTGGGCTGGAGTACATTTGGAGGGGGGAGGGGGGGGGGCTAGTTCAGGGGTAAGGGGGGGGGGGGGGGGGGGGCTAGTTCAGGGGTAGGGGGGGGGGGGGGGGGGTGTTGGATTTTGCTAGCATTTCAGTTCAGTCCAATGGCTACACAGAGTAAAACGGTTTGATTTAAAAACTTTTTATTAAAACAAATACACTTAACTTATCTGTGAGTACTCCTGTTGTAAAACTAAGTCATAGGCTGTCATTCTGTTGAGTTATTTTTTGTTAAAGCGGTTGTTCTCATTCTGCATCATGAATTAATCATTGGATGATAGTACTCCCTAAAGAACATTCATGACCATTGCCCTATTTCATTATCAGTATTGAGTGTTCAGATTAAAGACTTCAAACTTCCTAATATTCAGCAAGATTCTAGATTCCAAAAAGTTATTCATTTTTTAGTTAAATTTTAAAAACGTTAAATGTAGGCTATCATATTGGACCTGTTGAGATTACGATCTCATTTCTTGCCCAATATGTTGGCAGGCAAATTTTGACAAAAACAAATTCAATATTATTGATAAATGATGACACAAGCCACTAAAGATATGGATCAGTGCTCTGTCTGTGCCATATACACATGATGTGTGTAGCTCTGAAAGGTAGCCGAATGTCTTTGTCAGGCTGTCGCCAAGAGGAAGCAGTTAGTGTCTGCGACGTGTCCCCGCCAGTGCAACCGCAACAGCTTGGATCTGCCATTGACATGTCAGTTTCCAGGGCTTTGAGCTGTCAGCCCTACTGCGCCCTTCTCACCCCAGCAGTAGCGAGAGAGCGGAAGAAAGAGTGCGTTTGTGTGCAGGATGGCAGACTGCCATATTAGTGGCAAGCGCGTATACATGATAAAAAAAGATAAAGGAAGTAATGCACATTTGCTCTTGAAGGACCCTTTAAATGGGTCATTTTGGGTCACTGTTCAGATTACAAACAGACTTTCCTCCCTGCCAGGTCAAAGCAGAGCAACCAAAGTAATGAGTCTAATAAGTATACAAATGTTAGTGGACTAAAGCTATGATGTAATTTTTCAGGATTAACAATTATCAAATATTATGGACCGTGTCCACCTATAGGGGTCCGGTGTAGTCCTCTGTGTCTCCTCTGTGTCTCTCTGTGCCAAGGTGAACAGATTCATCCCCAGGCACCCAATCCATTATCCTGTCAACAACAGCAGGTCCCTGCCACAGTTAGCAGCAACACTGGCCGTAATGAAATCATCAGTAATCCCAAAACTCATCTCATCACACCCAAGGTAATTAATGCATTTGGAGGGCGATGGCTAACTCTTAATTAAATTATGCTTATTTTAATGAGGCCTTTATGTAGAGTAAATTTATAGCCAGTATCTCCATTATCAAGTGCTCGGCGCTCAACAGAGATTTGTCATTTTCACCTCAAATCACTCGCAGATTAACGTAATGAAGCCCATGATTAATATATCAATTTATACTTGTTTGTTTCTTTCCTCGAGATTCAATAAATTACCCTGCGTAATTAGTTCTTCAGGATTTTGCCACAGCCAAAACCTCAGTTCTCGCTAATAATGCATAAAGTATTATCGCTACGTATTAATTTTAGAATAATTTAGAGATAACAACTTGTGGCATTAATCATATTACAAAATTGGGTGTATTTAATTAATTAAAGATATAGCCTGCAAATTAATTGTGCATTTCCACAATATTATCTTAACTAATGAAGGCCTGACGAAGCGACTGTTTCATTTTTAAAAGGCACCAGATTAGTGGGATCTTAATTATGTTTAAAACAAAAGCCATCTGCTTGCCACATTTGGTGCAAAGCAAAATCAGACAACTCAGCATTCTCTGCTAAACAAAAAAGGAGAAAGTTTCTATTGTTTTGGAGAAACTGTAGAACATGGAAATGATTCAAAAGATACATGGAAAATAATGAGGTTTGTAATTAGCCTATAGCAGCCAATGATGGCATTTCAATGATGGCAATTCTTGTCCATTTCTGCAAGTCTGACTGATAAAAGACAACATGGAGTTAACAAAAATGCGTGCTGTGTTTTGCTCAGGATGCTCACTATGATATTTTGAAAAATTATGTTTTTTATTTAAATTATAGAAATGAATTTTCTCATTTTAAAATAATTAAACAGCTCCAGTCATGACTCACATGATACCCTAATCGTTTTTCTGACAGGCACTTAAACTAGAGACATTATAAACATTATCACATGCTGATGTGCAGGAGACAGAGACACCGCTTTAACACTTTGAAAAATTCCTTCACAGATACATTCAGCCAAATCTAATAACACCTCTAAACTCAAAGACAATTGCTTGTGCTATTAGAATTTGCTCAGTGATTTAATCAAAACTATATTTATAGTAATTTTCTGCTAAATTAAATCAGCGCTTTAATTGAAATTAGCTTTCACCGGGTTAGAATAAATGTAGTTAAAACTATTTTCATTTAACGCATCATGTACTAAATGGGGTTTTATTAATGTTTCGCTAAAATTTTCCTCCTGAAAGTTAAAGATATTGTAGAAAAATGTTGTCATTGAGGAGCAAATAGGGACTGTGTATTCACAGCATGTGCTGCATGTCTTAATGTCCCAGCAGATGATGTGTGCACATTAGCTTCATGCTGCATTAGATCACAAATCCTATTTATCATCGACTGGGCTAAAGAGCTTCTCAAACATGCCTTGATTCTTCTGTTGCAACGCACTTCTCTTATATATTGTGTGCTTTGCGGTGAAAATGATCGTATTCTTTGTAAATGCATATTAACAATTGCCATATACATCTGAACAATTTAAAAAGGGTAGTTGAAAAGAAAACCCCACATCTGTATTTGTATGTATGCACAAGCTTTAGGTGGTCATGCCTCGATTCTATAGTAAAGAAAGACATTTAAAGTGCAAAAACTGTAAAAAAAAAAAAAAAAATTAATAAAAAAAAGGCTGCCTTAAATTAAGTACAATCAACGTTTAAGACATTTCAACTTAAATTAAATTAAACTGACGTTAAAAAATTTGTTGAATCTTGCATAACTAAAAAAAAGTTGAACATTTCTTAACTTATTATAACTGATAAGTTAAAGCAATGTAAAAACATATTATTGTCATAACTTATTGATCATATAATTTAATTTTACAGTGCATAAACACAATAGGCGTGCATTGGAGGGACTTTAGTTTGCTGTATTCCATGACAGACAGGACTACACCATCTCAACTAAGATGGTATGTCTTCTGCATCAGTGATGCCTTTATATCCTTTTAAATCTTGAGTGTGATGGACATTTCTTCTTTTTCAGGTAACCGTGCTTATCTTTTCTCAGACTGTATATACCAAGAGACAAAACAGTTAAATAACAGGCTGTGGACATCAATGGATCATGTGTTCTAGTGTTCAACAGTGCCTTACCTGTGGTTTACCTGTACATTCCCTGCAGGTACTGAATCTGACTTGCCTTTAATGGTGAAGAAACTCAATGAAACGGATAGATAACGTTGGAATATCAGTGAGAAAAATGTTTCAGTCTCTAATGCTAAAACAATTTCATTCTGATCTAGTTTTTATTTTCAGTATAAAGTCTGAAATAGGCCTAGTTGGGAATTTAAATGAAATGAATATCGTTCACTCATTTAGAAATAGAAACTTCAAAAAAAAAAAAAAAATTTTTTTTTTATTTTATTATGACAATGAGGGAAAATTGGATTGATTGTGATGTCTAAATTTGGCTGTCGCATTAGTGGCTTTGAGTCCCATGTTGTTCATTCGATAGTCGGTAATTGTCCACAGCAAGTGACAGAGCAACAAGCTCTGGACAGACGATGTGTGTGAGGAAGCAAGACTTGTAATAGCTATGTATCTGGAATCTAAACCAAAACGAACATTAAATTATTTGTTTCGATTGCAAAGGTGTTGTAAATTATCAGAAACGCGCACATTAACTTGTTTTTCGATTAAAATAGCCTAAATGAAAAGTTTAAAATGTAGCCATATAGGCAATAATTTGACAGACAAGCAGCGCATTTGCGTTAGTGACTCAAAATGCTTGTGATAAATTCAAGTAAGATAGGATAGGAAACAAAAATTGCGTTGTTGTTTCTCTTTTTCTTTTGCATATTCAGCTTTACAGCAATGATCACTGTTGGCTTTATTTTAAGGACCGGACTCATATGTTTCAAGTATAAAACGGGATATCATTCCTATAGTTCACAGTGACATCTGAAAGAAGGTCAGATCCAAGCCTCTTTTCTTTAATTGACCAGTGAATATTATTTTACCAGTGTCACAGAACCAGAGGGGACGCAACCATTCAGCGAAATACAATAGGAATAACAGACCGTGGTGAAATTGCATCTTCATTTGCATATTCGGTTCAAAAATCATGCAAATCTCAATGAGACGGTCTTTATTGTGCCTGCAATTGAAAAATCATTCTGTTAACCATGGTAACTCTGTCCTTATTCGTAGCCAGTGAATTGAAACAAAAAAGTTATTAATTCATGGTGATGACATTCAAATGGACTCCAGAGAAATGCTTAATGTTTCGGGGACATTTGATCTCAAAAATCGGAGGTGAAGATTAGCTATAAAGACTTTTAAAATATCTATATTTTAGTAAGCTACCTACTATTGTTTTTTGCTACAGGCGTCGTTTAACGTTACAGTTATTGTGCTATTCATATGTTGTAGACAAATACTATTATTAAAAATTAGTATTTTTTTTTACACTTAATCGGGATAATTTTATAGCCACCCTATAGCCATTTTTAAAGTGCAAATAATAGGCAACAAGTATTCTTGTCTACCTAAATGGTAAATAATCCCATTTTAACCCGTAAAAAATCATTTAATATTCATAGTTTTTCCCACATAATTGTGGCTCGAGCTATTATTATTTTTAAAGCGGGTGTGTCGCGTGCAGGCTTATTTGACTACCTAGGCTATATCAACATCAAGTGCACTTATTTGAACTTATAGCCTACCAACCTTAGTGTACTAAAAATACTCTGTAAAAATACTTGAGACTCTGTGTGCGCTTATTATTTATTTCCACTTTAATTGTTAAAGTTGAGCTAATTAACAAGTGAATAGACACGGATTCGAGAAAAAACGGTGATAAAGAATAGAAGTCCTGTGGTGATTTGTTATGGTATTGTGGGTCTCTCCCAATAGTTCATCAAGACAGAACGAGTTGTTAAAACGTCCAGCTAATAAAAACTATTAATTTCTCAGGTCTGATGTGACATATTAGACAATAATTAACTGTAATGTATTAATTTTCCATCTTATGCTTTCAATAAAAATCACATGCTGATTTGTGATTTTTATTTATCTGCTACACAGTGGCAGTTTTAGTCTATTCTGGTCATTTGAACAGTCGCTATTGCCTACTACACTAATGGACAATTCACTGCCACCATCATACACGTGAGTGATTTTCGGAAGCCTTCGGAGCTCAATGATGTTGAACACTGGAAGGCTTTCCTGGTGGTCCTCGGCCTTAGCTCACGTTAATTAGGAAATTTGGAGAACAGAAGCCATCATTACCGAGCTCCGGGTAACTGGGAGTTTTCCTATTCCCGCTGTCTCCACACATTTCCATAAGCAGATTACAAGAGGATATGTTCCTGAAACCACTCGGATAAATCACCGGTTTCGTGGAATAAGTCTCTAATTAGAACTTTTGTCATATAAGGGCTGGTGCACAGCTATTCATATTAATGTAGCCTGAAGTGACTAATGATGTTCCAAATGACACATTTACTTTGTCTCTCTAATGAAACTGAAAGCGACTGAAAAAAAAAAAAGATCCACTGGTTTCCCGTTTTGGATATGGCTGTTTCTCCATGATAATTTTTCAGTGAAACTTTGTTTTCTAATCACGAATGCTAGCTACTAGTGTTTTATTTGACGTTTCAAATTAACTTGACCACCCACAATCGTATTTATAATTGGGCAATGTTTTATTTTATTTTTTTCTCTATATCAAATAACCCGATCGCTCTTTTAAATTGCGCTATATCATGAATTATTATAATGCTTTGCATAATGTAGGCTAAACCTCGGGCTTGAATAACTGCATTGAGTAGGCCTAACAACACTTGCAAGTTGCACTTGTTAAGACCAGTTTGGAAAGTAAATAACGGAGACATGGTGTTGGTGTTCGTGTCCAAATCGGTCACACACGGTGAAACTTCTCTAAATGGTTGAGTCGTTAGTGTGTGGTGTTAAAAGCCCATCGTGAATATTCAGTGCTGTA